CACCTCAGTCCAAATGCTTCCATCAGTCTTTTTAGAACCATCCCTTGACTCTACTTGAGTCATCCAGCAGTTTTGGACTTGGTTAATCCACAGACCCGTAAGGTCCTACTTGTGAGGCACTAGCTCACTGGAATACACTTCTTGCATTCCTGTCCTACTCAAAAGGACTATTTTCACAAGTGTTACTCCGACACTTGATTTTGTTCTCTGGGGGCAACTTTTGCCCCTTAGGACTACTTGTCCATGCGATGGGAATACCACTCATCTCTAAGTACACCCCCCAACTCCTTGGGTTGTTCCAGCATTTATTAAAGGTAGCCTCGGCTACCATTTCAAGGACTTGAGTCCTCTCCCGTATTTGACCTTCCACAGTCATTACCTTTGGTCTCACATTCATGAGCACCAACCTCAACTATATGAGGATAATCTTGTGACTCCTTTATTGTTTTGGAGTCTCTATCTTTCCCGTGATCCCAACTTTAGTTGTTTACCACAACAACCTTAGTCAATTTGCTGAGACAAATGCTCATCCGGATCACATCCTCAACTCAATGAGGAAAACCTTGCACTGTTCCCAAGATCCCAAAGTCGTTCCATTATTGGCCCTTTTCTATCCACCACCTCGTCTACAAGTTCACACATGAACTGTAATGGAGAGCCATATCTTCCCGACTTGCTACTCCTCAAGGATAGGCCCACTCCTCGGACCTTCCGATGCCAACACTAGTGGTGATATACTTGAGCACCAATAAAAGTCGGACTAAGGAACAGCTCTGATACCAAATTGTAAGCAACTAAATTTTTCCATTCTACTTTAGTCACTTAACCACACCTCTGACCACTTGGAGGAGTCTCATTCACAACCCCCATAAGTCCCATTCAGGACTTGGGGCTTGCTAGCCCTGAGAATGGCATCCATGCCACTCAACCTTTGCACTTGGTCCAAGTGCTCCACGTGTCCGATCCCATGACCGACACCCAAAGGTACCACTGACATCTCGGCCCATTACGCTAAGGCCATGCCCATTCCCCTTTGCTGCGCAAATGGTCCAATACCACTTGCATCACCATCCCGTCTCTCCAAGACTGGGCCATCTGTCTACGAGGGGTCATCCTAGATCCACTCCTTACCATCCTTAGGATGCCCACAGACCTGGGGAATCGCCTTCCCCAAAGTCCCTTTGTCAGTTCCTACCAAGTCCCTTTCTGCCCCTGGCCATGTTTGCCAACACTGCCACTGGATCGAGGCCCATAGGCCCGACCACTAAGTCCCACGGTCCTCTGGGACTTCCTCACCACACGATTGTGTCCTTGGTCACTACCCCAGAGGACTGCTCCTCTTCCTTTCCACAGTCTGGGCCTTTGGGACGACATTTCGGAACACCGTGGCCTTACGCGAGCCACCTGGGTACTCTCCCCACCTATCGCCTTTAGGTGCTCTAGCCATAGGCTTAGAGCGAGGTTCCGTTGAGCCACGCCTGGTATCCAAGTAGGTAGTGCCACCCACACTTGGACTGGGAGCATCGGCCAGTCGATCTCCCGGGGGAACTAGAGCCGGCTCTTGAACACTTCACCAAGCTACCCTACTTGTCGGTCCGTGTTCACTCTAGTCTTGGACTTCCCAGTGGGCAGCTCATCACCCAACACTGGGTCCGGCCTTCCTGGGCCAAACTGGCCTTTCCTGGCCAAACTGGCTCCACTGCAGTCCTCCCCCTTACTATACTTTTGGAGCTCACCAAACCCCCCAGGGTCTGGGAGACGAACGCTTTGGGCTTTCACCCTCTCAGGCTTCGGACTCGGACTCGGACTCGGACTCGGACTCGGACTCGGACTCGGATTCGGATTCGGACTCGGACTCGGCCTCGGCCTCGGCCTCGGCCTCGGTCTCGGTCTCGGTCCCGATCTCGGTCTCGGTCTCGGTCTCGGTCTCGGTCTCGGTCTCGGTCCCGATCTCGGTCTCGGTCTCGGTCTCGGTCTCGGTCTCGGTCCCGGTCTCGGTCTCGACTTCGGACTCCATCTCGGACTCCATCTCGGACTCCATCTCGGACTCCATCTCGGGTCCATCTCGGGTCCATCTCGGACTCCATCTCGGGTCCATCTCGGACTCCATCTCGGACTCCATTTCGGGTCCATCTCGGACTCCATCTCGGACTCCATCTCGGGTCCATCTCGGACTCCATCTCAGACTCCATCTCGGACTCCATCTCGGGTCCATCTCGGACTCCATCTCGGACTCCATCTCGGACTCCATCTCGGGTCCATCTCGGGTCCATCTCGGACTCCATCTCAGACTCCATTTCGGGTCCATCTCGGGTCCATCTCGGACTCCACTTCGGACTCCAACTCGGGTCCACCTCGGACTCCACTTCGGACTCCATCTCGGACACTCCCACGTGTCATGTGTTGGTCCTTTTGGGTCCCTTTTTGGAGCCTCGCCTTTTGCTTGCTTCGTGCTCGTTCCTCGAGCACTTCGTTGGGAGTTCCACTCCCGCTCTTGACTTTTCAAGTCGGAGCTTTTGGTCCAAACGTGTTACGCTCGTTTGGCTCTCGCTTCGGCCACTACCATGTGGCGCCCTTCCGGCTCCACTTTGGGCCTAGGGATTTTGTGTCTCACACTACTACATGGCACCCTTTCGGCTCCACTTTGGGGTTAAGGGATTTGTGTTTCACAATTGGTTGGCTATGCCTGTCTTACAAACTATTCCTACTTACATTTGCATTCCAAGTTGAGTGCTATGAGTTGAGCATGTAAGTGATTAAGTGCTGCGAGTTGGTGTGCAAATAATTGAGCACCATGAGTTGAGTGTTATGAGTAGAGTATCTAGAGTGCTAAGAGTTGCGAGAGATTGAGTGTGCAAGAAATTGAGTATTATGGGTGAAGAACTAAATAATAATGCCACCAAAATTGAGTTTCTTCCAATTAGTTTTTCTTCCATTTATATGTTTTTTTATTTTTATTTTTTTTTTGCTATTGCTTTCAGTTTTTTCTTGCTCTTGTTCTCAATTGGCAATCTTGAGGCACTTTTCATGGCCTAGTGAGCTAGTGTTATTTGAATAACCTCAACCTCCTAAACCACTAAATTGCCTAAGGTCAAACTAAAGCCAGCCACTTCACATAGTTTAGCAGCTTGAGGGGCTAAGATTATTTAAATAACTTTAACCCTCTAGGCCACAAAAGGTAGATCAACCTTAGATAGTGTTATAGCTCAACCTTAGGTGACCCCATGGCAATGGTTAAAAACTTTGTGTGTGTGTGTGAGAAAGAGAGAGAGAGAGATATTCTTTCCCCACATTACTCCCTTAGCATAGTTATACCTAAATGTGGAATATAGAATTTCTTCCTTGCTTCCCATCTTCTTAAAACCTTAGAAAAAAATTTTAAATGAAGGAATAATATGTAAATATGCAACAGTTGTATAGCTAGTCAAAATGTGAACTAGTCAAATAAAAATATAATAGTTGTAACAATAGCCATAGTAAAATAATATAGTTTTAGAAAAGATAAGTTCTTGTTAATTTTGTTTAGTAGAAACTTTTATGTTTCAATATTTTAAAGTTTATTAGAACCTTCATTTCTTCAATATAAATTTTCTTTATAAGACTTACATTGAGTTAAACTCAACTCAACTTTCCGAACATTGGAAAAGATTAGAAGAGGTTAGACCATCCCGAACATTGGAAAAGATTTAGAAGAGGTTGTCCAAAAAAGCATACTCCAGAGTATAGCCAGCTCAAGACACACACCTGCTAAGCTCATTTCACAACCAGAGATCTTGCATGGTTTCATGAAAGTTCTCTGCTCAAGTGCATTGATATAGGTAGCTGCTTAAGCAAACAAAAAGCTTTAACAAAAAGTTAGTCACTTTTTTGTCTGTTCTTGGACGGCAACCTCTAGAACTGAATATACATAAAACTTGAAACTAAGGGGTGTGATATGCCAAATGAATATGTTATACCGTGCTATTGCAACTATGATTTTGATGTTACTTCTGTTGTGGGTTGTCCATGCCCCACCTAGTTACCCATACCACCCGCAGCCTCTTACAATCTTTCGCAGAAATATTCGGGGGTTATCATTATCACGGTTTCGAACTGGTATGCGTCAGCTTGTTCAGCATATTTATCGTGTATACAGCGATAATCAACAAATTCAAGTAGGAGGGTCTATTTTAGATGTGTGGTTTGGCAACCACACCAGACTAAGGTTCAATTTGCACCTGAATGCGCCTTTAGCTGTAAATAATCAGTTTCTAATCTGTGTTGCTGATCCCTCAATCCCCTACATATTTCGTCCCATATATGTAAGGAATTCACTCTTTCGGATTGCTGCACAGATCTTCATGGATGCTGCTAGTGATCCAAATAGCTTGACCTTCTGTGGATGCATACGCACGGAGTACTTGCATTTTGCAATCGACTATCAGCTTGTTGTCTACAATCATCGCACTTTATATGCAAAGAATTCATTTATGATTTATGGTAGCAATCTATATGTAAGGAATTCATCAGTGATTAATGGTGGCAGTTTATATACAAGGAGTTCGTCAATGATTATTACAGACGAAACTGATGGTGATCAAGGGAGCTGCTGGAGTTTCGAAAGCTCGCTTGTAGGGAGCCAGGCCAAGGTACCTGGATCTTATCTTCTACAAGGGAATAGTATCAATTCTTTGAATGGGCTCTACAGGTTGACTTTGCGTATAGATTGCAGATTAGCTCTAAGGAAAAAGAGTAACCACCAGGAAATCTGGGTGAGCAAACATGATTATCATCCTTCTGCTGGATGCTACGCTATACAACAACAGGATGGAAATTTGGTTATCAAGGACAGTTACGGGAATGTTTTTTGGGCGGCTGGAGTGTATTGCAAGCCCCAACCAGATTGCATTGTGCTCTCTAGTGTTGTTGTGAGAGGAGAGGGAAATGTTTTCATCTATAACCTGGAGACTCGACAAATTTGGTGGCAGGCACTAAGTTGAATAATGCTTGAATCCATAATAAACACACTAAACTTCCCATCTTTTAGTTTCCTGCTATCATAAGTTCACATGAAGCTTAACAATAAGGTGCATTGCTCCTTCGCTTTAAAGCTAAAATTAGAAATTCTGAAGAAAAGAAGATAACAAATTTTATGCCTTTTCCTGTTTTTTTCATGATAATAAAAAATATTAATTTACCTTTATACAATCTATGAAGTAATGTTAAATAGCATTGTGCATGGCTCAGAGTCTTCGACTCTTTTGTGAGCCCCAATGTAATTTTGTTTGCCATACAACTCTGCAATGTATTGGAGAGCTCTTCTACAAAAAAATCGGCCTCCTCTGGGTATCTCCGGAGTGAACCTTTGCAGCCTGGAGTACTCCGACAGAAGGTGAAACATGTAATTGTATACCTGATCTATGTTAACTTGCTCTCGCATGAAAGCCTGTCCACTTCTCCCAATATTCTGTGCCTGGCAAAATCTCAAATTTGATGGCGATGATCAGTGCTTTTCGTGATTAAAAACTATACATATATACCTCATGCGCGTGGGAGTTTCCCCAGTTGACCGCATCTCTCAAAGATTGGCACATCTCCTCCTCCTTTGAAGAGATTGGCATAAAGTGGATGTTTGGGAGCAAACCTTTTGTGAAGAACTCATCGTACTCCGAGTCCAAATAGAGCAAAGTGGAGCCACAAGCCATTTTATACTTGAGGCTCGCCGACCATGCTGCTCCCTCAGCATAGATGTTATACCTGAAAGTGGAACATTGGAAGAGCATTAGAAGAGCTTTCAAAGCTACAACAGAGGACTATAGCCGTGCCTTTGGTTGCACTGTTTGCACAACTTGGAGTTTGCGTATCCAACGTTGGCTTCAGCAATCCAGTTCTGTAATTGTACCATTGGACACGATCAGCTTAATAAAACTACCACGATCAAATGCTTACTTGGTCAAAGACAAGGGTGCCAAACTCGGTGGAGTTGCATCGAGCCAGGAGATTTCTAAGCTTCCCCATTCTCAAATTCCCTTTCCAAAACGCAAGGGGCTGCCTCTTGTTCCATTCAACGTCCTGGGATCCCTGGAATATCTCCTGCGATTCTTGCTCCCAGGGACGAATGTTTACCTCCGGCCTAGCACGGATTTGTCAGAGAATATTTGTTTCTTTCAAAGAGAACAAACTTTAAAGCGGAGAAAAAAGACCTGACCCAAGAAAAAAGTACAATGAATGATCACGGCTTCACACCAAGTCAATCAGCCAATCAGACCGATTTCAATCGATCAGAAAACTACAGGAAAATCTGGAATGCGACGACCAAACACAGATTTGCAAGAGAGAAGAGAAGAAAAATCTCTAAACCTTACCATCCCCAGAAGGAATAATCGGGAAAAGGGATGTCGAGGCTATGGCGATGGCTGCAATAGCTGAGAACCGGGGCCGGGGCGCCTCCATAGGATCCATCCCTGGGCACGATGGGCCGATCCTTGCAATTCAAGACAAACTCCACGTCGGGGACGCGATCGCCAAACCTTTCCAGCATCAGGAGCAAGCCCCAGAGCGAGAAGACGCTGCGGCTCTGCGGGCAATCGCCGTACGCCCTGACGTACATCCGGCCGCCGAGGATCGCGACGCGCATTGACCCCAGCCGCTGCCGGCGATCCAGGCTCCGCCTCGTGATCCCAGTCGATCGCCATGGGGCCAGGTGCTCTCGAATCCTCGCGAAATATCGCGGGCACGACACCGCACCGGCGCTGGCGTTGCGCGATCTTGGAGGCCGCCCGCGATCGCCGGGAGCATCGCCGGCGGAGCAATGGAGCGCCGCGGATTTGTGGAGCAGGCGCGCGAACCTGGAGAAGAAGAGGAGATCTTGGAGCTCGCTGACGCTAGAGAGGAGGAAAATCGCGACGAGGAGGAGGAGCGTGAGCGGGAGGACGGGAGAAGAGGAGCCCAAAATCTTCATTGAATGGCGAGAAAAAAAATTAAAAGGAGAACCATATGAAGCGGTGATGGACGGCCCAGATGTGTCCAATCGCCACGTAGGGAAGGGTACATGGCGTGTCGTTTGACAAGTAGGAATGGGTAAACAGCGTGTCGTCTACTAAAAACGGATATATCGGATATTCGGAATGGGCTGGACTGCCACGTGGCGCGCGGATCCCACTGTTGACGTGGCCGGTTTAAAGCCGCCCTAATTTTAATCTCTATGGATGCGCGCTTTCATCCTCGGCGAGCTCGTCTCCCCAATTCGGCGTCTTCTCGGCTCCGGCGGGGCGATTTCTAGGCTAACATCCCTTGCATTCTCCACAGCAGCATTGCGCCTTCCATGGCGGCCTCGATTCTAGGTTGCGGTTCTAGCAATGGCGTCGCGGTCACCGGTAATCCTGCTCCAGCCGCGGCGGCCGAGGTGCCCGCGCCTCTCAGGCCGCTGGAGGAGCTCACGGAGCTGGATATCAGGCAGCTCACGCGGGAGGACTGTAGACGCTATCTCAAGGAACGGGGTAAGCTCGTGTGTCGCTTCTCTTCTTTGTGGGGAATTATTTTGATGGTTTTTCTTTGCTACTTGCTAGGAATGCGCAGGCCGTCTTGGAACAAGGCACAGGCGATCCAGCAAGTGCTGTCTTTGAGGAGTTTGCTTTGTCCTTCCAATCCGGTAGGCCCTTCCTCCAAGAACCCGGGAAGTGCCGCGAACGTAAGCATATCGCGAATCCTTGGAAGTTTTTCTTTTTGAGTCCGAGAGATCCTTTTATTCTTCTTCTTTCCTTGCAGGCCCCTCCGGCTGAAGCAGCTGCTGCTGGTCACACCAAACAATTACTGGACAAGGTCTCTCAGCAAAGCATGCCAGATTCTTGTCCATCTAACAACGCCTCTGATCCTAGGCCGCTCGCCGGATGCTTTGGATCTCTTGCCCCGACGTTATCAGTTCTCAATCCCGATGCGAAACGTAACCCGCTGAGGTAGGCAAGTTTGCTTTGACAAGTAGTCTTACACTACTCTTGGCTCTTTAGTTCTAAACCCGCGTCAACGACAAAGCCTCACAGTGCCCAGCTGACCATTTTCTACTCCGGTATTGTGAACGTGTACGACGATGTCCCGCTTGACAAGGTCAGCGAAAGCGTGTTTGTTGCCATCGATTTTTTCAAAGCATGACATCAGTTTTAACAGGCACAAGCTATAATGCTTCTTGCCGCGAGTAAAACGTTTCACGTTCCGACAAGTTCAGTGCCTGGCCATCCGCCGTTTACTAGAGCAACCCAACAACAACAACAACAACGAGAGCTTAACCAACAAACCGAAGCCACGCTAAAGTACCCGATGCAGCACCAGCAAGCTCCTCAAATATATCTAAGCTCGGCTTCAGCTCTACCCGACGAAAGCTGCACGGAACCTGGTACTTGGTGTGCTTTTCTATGCAAGGATTTTTGTCTCCTGACCCTGAGCAGGGCTTCCACAGGTCAGAAGTGCATCGCTACAGAGATTCCTGGCTAAACGACGAGACAGGTAAATCACAAAGAACCAAGCTCCTGTTGTCGTGATGCGGTAATAAAGCAATGTTCAGGTTGTCAGGGAATCCTTCCTCGTCTAGGCGGAACGACAGATCGAAAAAGCGGAGGTTCTCCCCGCCACCGCCACCGTTAACTTCGGCTTTGTTCCAGTTTCCTTCAAGTGCTAGAACATCGCAAGTTTTAAGATACTCCACTACTTCTACAACTACGATCACTACTGCCACTGCTACTGCCGCTACTACCACGGGTGCCACGAATGGTGGACAATGTTCCAATTCCAATCAAGCAAGCGAGAATGCAAGCAGCGATACCTCCGGTGGAAGCTCTGGAACGCCGGACACAAGCGACACAACAAGGGACAACGACAATGGACGAGTTTCCAAGGAAAATGGACGAGTGTCCACCACTTGTCTCGCAGCAACGTGAGAGCTCTTGTGAGAGCTCTTGTGGGGCAATCTCCCATCTTGCTTGGCCGAGAGTTTTTTTTTTTGTATATATAAGGTTTGGATTGGACTATTTTGTCTTTCTTCTTGGCTTCTTTGCATGAAAGAAGTGACTCAAACATAAAAGACGAAGAAAAGAAAGGGAGTTTTAAAGATGAATATCAGCTTACAAGTTCTACACGAGACAAAACTAGAAAAACGAACTACAACCAGTACCTGTGTAGCAATAGCAAGGCGCCCAGCAATGGCTGGCTACTCGCAAGCCAGCTTCGTATCAAAGCTGCTTAAACAGATAGCAAACGCCTGGAATGCCGAGAGGGGGTACCTGTAATCCATCGTAAACATGTCCTTACCAATCTTCCCAAACTGGAGCAGGACTTTGTCCTGCTCGCCCTGGCAAACAGGAGCCGGAGGTTGATCCGCCGCTGCCACCAGCTGGAAGTTCTTCACGGAAGCAACAGTGACCCGGCCCCGGAAGTTGAGACACCAGCACTGGAGTTGATCGTGCCACCTGGGAGACTTGTTCTTGAGCACCAGAGGATCGCCCTTCACGTACCGATCGCCGCCGCTGCTGCTCAAGCCGGGCTCGCCGACGGCGTCGTCGGCCACCGGGGCTGCGGCGCTGGGCTTTGCGGACATGAAGGTGAAGGAGGAGGAGTCGTCGGCGTGGTGGCCGGACAGCTCCGTGGACGCCGGTACTGCCATGCCTTCCGAGTCGGAGTCCATGGACACGGCACCGACTGCGTGGAGAGTACACTGCATGCGCCTCGGACCCCTCGTACCCAGCACGTTGAGCTCGTAGGATATGTGCGCAACGTTGTAACTTCCCGCGGGGACCTTCGGGGACACCTGTTTTGCAGCAACTCGGCGGCCTGCACGATTTGTTGACGCGATCGCACCGCTGTGGGGCGGTTGTGTGTCGTAGATCGCGAACTTTGTGCCCAGGAAGTTTGACCTGTGATTAAAAACAACGTAAACACGCGGCGGAGGAAAACTTCAGTGCTACCTCAGCTTTCCAACGCAGCTGCTGCTGCCCCGAGACATGTCCTCGGGGTCGATCGAGATGATGTAGTCAGTGCTGGTCGCCCGCCTCGACTTCCTTGCGGCCAGCAAGAATTTCCCGTTTTCCGTCAGTGCTGAGACCACCAAACGCAAAAGACAATCTCAACCAACTTCGCGAGAGCTGTCCAGGAAAGAGAAGACATACTTGGTGTCAAGCCCAGGAACAGCCTGTATGTAGCAGTCGTCCTGTCCCGTTCGATGTAGCATTGAACTGTTGCATCCCTTGGCCCAGGCTACACAAACACAGAGACAAGCCACAAGTTCCAATCCAGCAAAGTTAGAATCGAGCAAACACTGGAAACAAAAAGGAAGAGAAGAAGAGACAATGCACAGAGTAAGGAATGAATTACCTGTTTGAGGGAGACTGGAAAGGTGAGCTTTCCAGAGAGCTCCGGGGACTTGACAAGCTCTTTGGTGATCTCCCTCCAGGTGCTACACACGGCAGCGCATGCAACCACGTTCTTCCGCGACGGCCACACGTTGTCGCTCGACTCGAGCCTCTGGATGATGTCTCGCAGCAATTCCGGCGGCATGTTGGCCCAGCAGCTCTGCCGAGACATCTCATTCCTGTGATCCGGCGGCGCCGCTGGATCGCCACCGACAGAGGCGAGCGACGAGGAGCGAGACCTGTGGTGTGGCTGCTGCTGGGGCTGCGACAGCCTCACCTCGAAGCTCCGCCTGGAAATGCTGCCAATCCCGCCCTTGAGCTCCTGGATGTCCCGGATGAAATTCTTAAACGACATTTCTCGCCCAGGCAGCTATAGATCCGTGAGATCTACCCGCATTGCCAGCTTAGCGGCGCCACAGCGCGAGAATGTAGCTTGTCGCGCATGGATCTAGCGGCGCCGGCAAGAAATTACCTCCGTCCAGTCCGGCTGCGGGGCAGCGGGGCGGATTTCTCATCACAGCGCATGCGCCGGGCCACCGATCGAGCTGCTCGCCACTCCCCCGCTGCGCAAAAGCCCTAACCCTAATCCTCCAGCAATCCTCGCTTCACGCAGCAACCATAGCCATGGGCAAATGTTTTTCTTGACGCCCACTCCCGTTTGGTTTAAATCGCCCACGCCCTGTAAAAGAGGACACAACAGAATGTACCACGCCGTACCAGAATATGCTTAAAAGAAACGCCGAAATATCCATTCCAAACGCGGGAGAGAATATTCCACCACCTGTTAACTCCTATTCATTCCTGGCCATCATCATGTTCACAAATTCTTCGTAGTTTACTTGGCCGTCACCGTCGATGTCAGCGAGCTCGATCATCCGATCCAAATCCTTGTCAGTCAGGTCTTGGCCCATCGTCTTGAGCACATTCGAGAGCTGCGAAAAAAGATTTGGAGGATCCAATTAGCACGGAAGTTTGAGAAAGAAAAATCTGTCACGGAACCTCTGATGCCGAGATGAATCCGTTCTTATCCTTGTCGAAGTTCGCGAACGCTTCTCTCAATCTCACAGACGAATCTTCATCCTGTGGGGACACTCCCAAAAGACGAAATTTTCAGTTTCCTCGTGAGCATATGGCTAAAGTTACCTTCATCTTTTTGGCTATTAACTCCATGAAGTATGAGATATCGACAGGGCAGGGATCGTCGCTTCCGGCAGTGACGCCGTCGATCATCTCTTGGAGCTCCTCCTGCGTGGCGTTGTAGCCCAGCGACGCGAGAGCCTTGCCCAATTCCTTCTTGCTCGTCTTTCTTCCTGGGATTCACAAAGTTTAGAAAAACGAATAAAACGAGCACGCCTTACCCTTTCTCTGCAGCAAGTCGAGCACATCCTGGAACTCGCAAATCCCTTCCTGCTGCTGTGATCCGTAGCCTGGAGAAAAATCCGAGCTTGGAGAGGCGGCTTGAGTTGAGCTCGTTCGCTTCTGCTGCGGCGGAGGTCCCACCGTCTTCGACTTCTGCACCGAGTGGCCACCAGACTTCCTCATTCCTCCCGCAGATAAGCGAGCAAGGAGCCTCTCTTATAGATCCCCTAAGCTTGCTGGGAAAGCTCTAAGAATTTCGCAAGGAAATCCTGGAAACGCAACTAAAAGAATGCTTAGTCGACGGTCCACTAGCGTAGCAATGGACCCTCAAGTTACGCCAGTAATACGGAACCTTCGCTTGTCGCGAAAAGTTGGCTGGATTGTCTAAGAAGAAAGTTGTTCACCGATAGCAAAACGTGTAAATCCAGTCGCGATCACGAGCATGCTCTTCGCCACAGCCAACTAAAACGAAGCATTAGTCGTGCAGAAAAAGAAAACTAAGTAGAGAAGAAGTGTGAGCTTCGACAAGTAAACCGGTTAGAAGTAGAAAAGAAGTACCTTGTTCCTATGCCTTTCCTTGTGAGCTTCGACCGAAGGGATTGCGTTTCGTAAGTTTCATCTTTTCCATGAGTTCCTGCGCCTCGTGAACCTTCCCAGCTCTGGTCAACCCCCAAGCAAGCGTGTCATACGTTATCGCGTCGGGGGGACATCCCTTGGCGATCATCTCGGCGTACAACCTGTGAGCTCCATCGAGTTGCTTGTGGTGGCACAGAGCTCTCAGCAAGGTGTTGTAAGTCACCACCGTCGGGTGACACCGTCTCTGTGCCATGCCCCGGAAGAGCTTGAACGCGTCCTCGAGCTTGTCCGCGCGGCAGAGGCTGTTGAGAAGGATGTTGTAAGTCACGACCGTCGGAGCGATCCCCTGTGTGACCATCTGCTCCAGGAGCTTGTGCGCCTCGTCCACTCTCCGCACCTTGCAGAAACCATCGATGAGGCAGCTGTACGTCGCAACATTCGGAGTGACGCCTTTCTTCACCATGCCGTCCAGGACTTCGGCTGCTGCTTGCACCTTGCCCGACTTCGAAAGCCCGTCGATCAGAGTCGTGTACGTGACCACGTTTGGGACGCAGTTACTGCGGACCATCTTGTCAAAAACGTCCTTCGCAGCGACCAGATCCTTCTTCTTGCAAAACCCGTCGATGAGAGTGTTGTAAGACACCTCCGTTGGAACGTATCCTTTCCCGGCCATCTCTTTGAACAGCTCGTAAGCCGTCTCGATCCGCCAGGCCTTGCAGAGGCCGTTGATCAGGGTGTTGTAAGTCACGACGTTGGGGTTGATCCGTTGCTTCACCATCTTCTCGAAAAGCAAGCGTGCCTCCTCCACTTTCTCCTCCTGGCAGAGTCCACTCAGGACAAAGTTGTATATGAAAGCATCCGGCTTTATACCTCTCGTCGCCATCTCCTCCACAGTGGCCAGTGCATCGTCGATCCTCTTCGTCTTACACAGCCGCTCCACAATAGGCCCGTACGTGAGAGCGTCTGGAGGGGCGTAGCGTGCCATCTTCTCAATCAGCTCTCGAGCTTCTTCCACCCGGTTGAGCTTGCACAGCCAGTTGATAATCGTGCTGTAAGCGATGGCTTTCCGCTTGAATCGTTTTAGCCGCATCGTGTGAAGAAGCTTGTAAGCCTCGTCAAAGTTGCCGACTTTGCACAGGCACGAAATGAGGATGCCATAGCCAGACGCTCGAAGCGTATACCCAGCCTCCACCATGCCCTGGTAAACTTCTTTCACTTGTTCCAAGCGTCCGGCTTTCGCAAAACCATCCGCGACAGTGTTGAAAGTTGCTGCTCCCGGTATAACTCGCCGAAGAGCCATCTCTTTGAGGAGAACAAGCCCGTCGTCGGGGTACCCCGCTTTGCAGAGTGACTCAATGACGATCTCGTATACCTGGCTCTCGAAAACCATACCTTTCTCGAGCAGCAGTCGCAGGAGCTCGTTGGCGTCCCACGCTTGTATTCTGTGGCACACGTTCTGGAACACAACTGGTAACGTCGGCTCGAAGCCTCTCGCCTTCAATCTCTCAAGTGACCTCCAGAGCTCGGTGTCCGAAAATCCGAGTTCTCTCTCGGCAGCATGAACTTTGCGTTCCTGGAGCAGCACGCGGTCCCTTATCGTCCGAAGAGTGGACGCGTCCAAGGCAATGTCTCCTCCGGTGCTTAGCATGTCGAACAGAGCGTAGACCTCCGTGAGCGGCCTGGAAGATAAAATGCCCCCGACCAAGATACCGACGATCGTATCACCCACGGGATAGCCTCTATCCACCACCGTCTCGTAAATCTCAAACGCTTCCTCCACCATCTTTCTCTCGCAAAGAGCCACCATGACGACTCTCAAAGTCACCTCGTCCGGCCCGTGAGCATCAACCATCCAGCCAAAGTACCGAAGCACACTCTCCATCTTCTCGAGCTTGCAAAAGGCCTTGATGATAAACTTGAAGTCACTGGCAGGGAGCGTCGTTCGTCCTCGGGAAACCACACTCTCAATCATCACCCGGGCGTTCTCCAGATCCCTGCTAGCCACGGAGCCCCGGATCATGATCGAGCAGATGGCCAAGTTCGGCCTCAAACCACTGTTGAAAAGCGGCCTCGCGACTCTGCCAACTTCCACGCTCAAGCCAGCCTTGAAGAGCACCGGGAAGAGGCAGTGGAGCGCTTGCCAGCTCCCACCGATGGAAGCTTTCTTCTCGGCCCATCTGTAGAATCCAAGCAGAGTCTCCGCGTCTACTCCAGTGTTGCGCTTTGCATTGCTCCACAGCACCGCGCTGACGACGTTGCTCGTTAGCCAAGGCTTCCCCTTCCTTCTTACTAAGAACTCTCTCTTTCCTCCTCCAGGCAAATCTTTCCTCTCTTCTTTGGAGATTTCTCCTGAGATTTTCTTCCTTCCTTCTTCGTCGGCGGCTCTTCCTCTTCCTTCTTTTCGTCTTCCTTCGGAGAGGATCCCCTCGAGCTGCTGCTCCCAATCCCGCTGCTGGAGAATCTTCGTGACCTCGGAAGCCGTCAATTTATCCTTGAGCGTGATCCTCCACGATCTGCCGCTGCCTCTAACCATGGAACGAGAGATTCTTCCCTCAAATCTCCCCCAGCGATTCGCATTCTAGCCTCCGCATACCTCCCAAGATCCAGCGTCCTCCTCCATTCGCAAAGAACCCTAAACCCCAGAAGAGTGGCGAATGGCCGATCAGCACGTGGCATCTAGGGCTTATTTGGCACGAGGAGAAGGCGTGAACCCTGATTTCTTGTCTCGTCTTCCTTCCCTCCATGGCGTCGCGCAAATGCCGCTTCTGGATCGATCGGCGGAAGAGAGGATTCGATTGGCGCTAGCGCTGGAGGAATTTCCAGGAGGGAAGAGGAGGAATGTTCCAGTTTGGAGGCGGCGCCCAGGCGGCGCCTGTGGCGGCCACCGAAACGCCATCGCTTCTCTCGGATTGGAAGGCCTATGCCATGGGAGGAGGAGGATCGGCCGCAGCTACTGTCAGCCACGACCAAGAGGCGGGGGCGTTTAGATCCGCGTTTAACACGTAAGTTCTCAAAATTTTCCAAGCTAGTGGATCTTTCCATCTAGAGCTCTTGCTCCTTTCAGTAGCTTCAAAGCATTCTTGCTGCTTCATGCGTTACTGTTCTTGGATTTTAAGTAGCATTTGCTCTGCTCGCATCCTTTGGATCAGATCATTAGCTGTTTTTCTTTTTTCTTTTTTGCTCTTCTTTCTCTTGATCAGATCTTTAGCTCTAAATGTTTTCTTCCAGGGTGACTACGAGGGTGACAAATTTGCCTGGGAACGTCCAGACGGCTGCCACAGGCGGCTTGCCATCGCGAAACCAGCTGCTCTACTTCAGCATCATGCTCGGGGCCGGCTGCTTCTTCATCTTCATCTCTCTCGTCATGTTTTTGCCGCTCATCGTTCTCATGCCCGCCAAGTTTGCCTCGTGCTTTTCCCTCGGCAGCTGCCTTGTCATCGGTTCCTTCTTCGCCTTGAAAGGCCCCAGAGCCCAGCTCGCACACATGATGTCGAAAGAGGTACCGATCGTCGGGTTAATCTACTTGGAAACAAACTAAGAGGTGAATGAACTCCATGTTTCTACTCTTTCGCTGTGAGCTGAGCTCTGCGAGTTTGCTTTTGCAGAGACTACCCTTCTCTGTTGCGTTTGTAGGAAGCATGGTGGGAGCGATTTACTCGTCCGTGATCATGCACAGCTATCTTCTTTGTTTGCTTTTCTCCGGTATTGAGGTAATCAAGCTCCTGTTTTTGTCTACTCCATCACAGCTTGAGTCGAGCCTTGCAGATTTTAGCGTTGCTATACTACGTGTTATCGTATTTCCCCGGTGGCACTGCGGGTTTGAAATTCATGCTGTCAATGATGAAGAACATGATCCTGGGCTGTTTTCGCAGGTGACACTAGATTCATCACTTGTAGCATAGTGCACGAAATGTTTTCCAAGAAGGATAATGCAATCAACGCCCGTTCTTCAATTACAGTGATAGATCTTACAGAAAAAACCAAAAAACATGAGGATTTAGATAGGTTGACCCTTTGGAGTGATCAAATCCTTGAGCCACATGTAAATGGGAACCAGCACGAAATAGAGCGAAGCAATCCCACCAACGAGGAACCGGAAGAAGAACGTTAGAGGATTGCTGGGAGCTTGAACGTCCTCGGTCTTGGGACCAAGCTGGAAGATCAACAAAACAGAGGAAAGATCAACACAAAACTTAAGCCAAAGAGCACAGCAAAACTTACATCCAGAGGAGAGTCGCCAGCTTCTGGTTTCACGCCGGTGACCGAGCAGCCCATGATCAATCCGTGCCTCCTCACGCCCCGGTACCATTTGGGTCCGATTCTCTTGAGCTGCACGTCCTGGAAGCCTGCCTTGGTGAACCAGTCTATGTACTCTTCCTCCTTGGGGAAGAGCATCCACATATCCGCGAAGAAGCGCGAGAGCCAGAAGGTGGGGTGGACGGGACCGATCAAGCACGCCTTTCCACCTTTCTTGAGCACGCGGTACGCCTCTTTGATGCCTCGCTGAGGGTCGGGCCAGTACTCTATGCTGCAGAGAAAGAAGAAAGTTTCGATCAAAGTCAGACCTTTCACCGTTTAGCAGTAAATCCTTGATGCATGCTTCAAGTCAGGCGTTAGCAGGAAATCCCAGAACATTGATCCATGCCATGAAGCCAAACGGTGGTCTCACGTGAAAAACTAAAGAACTAAAGGCACCGGTCCACAGTCACGCAAGATCACTTTGATCACGTAAAGCAGCAGACGATCTGATCTCGCGCAAATCTAAAACATGGAATGGCTGAGAAGATCCAGTACAAACTAGATCCCGTGATCCTGCCAGGAAAAAAAGCTCCACGCATGCATCCAATACACAGAAAACACTGTATGCTCCAAGAAAAAAAACCATGGAGGAAGAAAAGTGCACAAGAAAAAGCTTACCTCCCAGCCGAAACGTATCGATCGGCGTAGTCGGTCCCGAAAGGAAGATCCTCCGCGTCCCCTTCGATGATCTTGCACTCCTTGAGCGGCTCCTTCTCCTTGGCCTTGGCCAACTGGTGTGGCGACTGATCCAAAATGGTAACATTCCTGGCGTCCACATGCTTGACAATCCCCAGCGTCGTGAATCCGGTGCCACCGCCAACATCCACCACCACCAAGTTCCGGTCGCTCAGATCCGCCGGCTCGAGCGCATCATCCCTCATGTCCTCGGTCCAGTGCCCCGGATTGATGATGTGGTCGTAGATTATCGACAAGAAGCGGTAGAACCAGAAGGCCTCCTGCTTGTGCTGGATGAATCGCGGCTGCATTGCCGGCCGGGGCGATGCCGACGCAGATTGCGCCGCGGCACATCGAACGAGCGGCGAATTCCTGCGCATTCTCGCCGCGACCGCTAAACCACCCCTAAAACCCTTTCTAGATGGAAACCTGGCCGATATTCTCGCAATGCGAGGAAGCTCGCTGCCGGAGGCCCCGCATTCGAGCGCCTGGACCGTGCGAGGCGCCGCGGCGGCCATTGCCATAGCCATTCCGCCAAAACCACGAAGAACTCGAAACTATGTGAGATTTTGATTAGGTTACATGCCATAGTCCCATGAATCAAAACAATACAATAGTTAAGCTGATTATCGGCAAAATTGGAACTATAACACTCAGTTTCCTTGGCAAAACATTGACGAACATTTTTTTGATGCTTTTCTTCTCAATCCTCCTCACTTTCTTCTTCCTCGGCTTCGTTAAGCCACTGAAAAGAGAGGATCGATCAGTGATATAAAAGTGATGGAAATAAAAAAAGAAGCTTACTTTGATGAAGCTCTCGCATTGCCTCAAGAACACCTTGTCCGCTTCCTCGGCTCCGGCCTTTTCCGACGCCCAGGACATCACCGCTTCTTCCGACACCAAGTCCTTGTCATAGAGCTCCTCCACCACCTGAGGTTGTGCTTTCCGGGATTAAATCTATGCGGGAGTGACGACGAAGCGAGAGTTACCTTGGAAAACAGTGGAGAGAATTCAGAAGCGCTCTCGAGACACAGCTCCTCGAACTTAAGGAGAACTTCGATCTACAAACGGGAGAGAATCGGTGACGACATGGTAAAGAAAGACAAAAGAGAGCTACCTGGTCGTCCTCGGACTTTAAGAAGTTGCGGAACAGCGTCGACCATTTCGAGATGACTTGCTTCGTTGTCGACAAGAGCTCGGCTAAACAAATGACTGCACATTAAGAGACTACACAAGTGGAAAAAAAACAAACCGGCAGTAGAATGTGGCGTCTCAAGAGCCAGGTTCAGCATGGCTCTAAACATTGCTCCAGCGCAGTCTGAGAACGCCTTATTGTATCCCAATCTGAGATTTCGACGTCTTATTTAACGAGTAGAGTGACAAAAGTGCACTTACTTCAGGGAATTGACTTCCAGAACCACGTTCTCCAGCTTCACTCCGTTCACCGCTCGCTTGAAATTCTCTTCAACCTAAGATCACACATCCATCAACATTTTCGTCAAAAAGAACCAACAAGATTTACCTCTTTTTCAAAGTTGTCGTCCTCGTCAACGCTCTCTTCCTCGTCACTTAAGAGTTTCTCCTCGGGAATGACATCGACATCTTGGATATCATCTTCTTCTTGCTCTTGTTTGGCCATCAGTTCCTTGATTTTCTCACCGCTGATGGCTGCCACAGACTGCTTCCATTCTTCGTCGTGGACTGCGTCCTTAAACCAACGATAACCCGCTCCGTCTTGTCCTACCTGAACTTTGTTTGCAGATATGTCTGAGAAGAAACATATACAAACCACACCTCTTGACTAGACCAAGACTGCCTGACATTGTCTTTGCCAACGGAGTTTTCCTTCTTCCGATCGTCTGCAACCATAGACGATATCAAAATGTCGGCATTAGGTTCGAAACAAATCCTTCCACCTGAATCGTCACCAGTTGAATCTGCATACTCAAGCTCCTCATCGCTGCTATCTTGTTCCGTGGGTTCAGGAACACGAGATATTTTTGAGTATTGTGGTACCGTGAAGCTTTCACCAATGGTAACCTGTACCATATCTACACAAGGTCATGGTATAAACCGGATAGTATAGCTAACCTTGAACGAGAGAACAACTCCAGGCTCTAGTCTGGCGCCGGCTTTGACAAGGACACCGTCGCAAATGATAGACTGAATAACTTGTACATTGTCGGCTATTGTCACATTGTCCCAAATGTAGCTTCCTTCCACGATCACATTCTCACCAATTTTGCATCCCCGGCCAATAACTGAGTTTTTGATCTTGCTGTGACTGCCAATTGTAGTACCCTGCCCAAGGAACGTATTTTCGCCGATCAATGCATTTCTAGAAACGGTAGCACCTGGCAAAAGAAAAAGAATTAGAGAGGTCAAGTCTAGAAAGACTACCTTGCTCTCTGTACTTGTTGCACCGATCCAGATTCACAGTGGCTTGCGAGTCCGAGAAGGAAACTTCAGGAACAATGGGATACGTCCACCTATGTAGCACATCCTTGCTAACGACGTCATACGCTCGAAAGTTGTCGATCCGAGTAGCATAGTCTTCAAAAATCTCGTAAGTGTACACCTTGTTTCCCATGATCTTCAGGCAAACCCGTATACTTAACTAAGCATTTCATATTATAAAACCAAAATGTTTGGATACCTCGTCGCTCAACAGCCCTCGAACAAAATCTCTCCGCATCTGCTGGTAATCGAAGTTGTCGGTAAAAAGCATCAGAACTTCCGGCGAGCATATATCGATATGACAGTCCTGTGAAAAGCAATAACTTGAATATCCGAAACCTCCTCATGAAATAAAATAAAATAAAAAGAACGAACCTGCATGTCGAGGTGAAGCCGGACACCTTGCCTGCCAGCCAGCAAATTTTTGTCTAGCAAGATCGATTGGCGTTGCTTGTTGGGAGCACCATAGTGGAGAAGTTGCTTCGTAGCCGGATCAATCGCAAGAACGAGCTCCTCATTGCCAAGGCGCGTCTGATGCGTCAATGGTGATGGCTTGCAGCGCTTGACAACCATTGTCATGACGGCTAGCTTGTCCTTCGTCCTTCGCGCTTTGTGCTCCTGTATAACTTCTTTGAGCGGCATGTTGCTCACAGTGTCGCCGCTTACAAGCACAAAGTCTCCCAGAACCTTGGACGAAGAAACTCATCGTCAACTAGAGCACAAACTTCTAGCAAACTACGTACCACATTTCTCTGATCGATCGAGCGGAGCGCATCGCCAACGCTCACGCAGTCATCGGACTGGATGCAAGTGAGCTTGAAGTTCCACCGCGATGTCTTGAGATAGCTCGTGACTTGCTTGGCATGAGCGCAGCAAAACACGAACACCTCCTCAATGCCGGCCGAGGCGAGCCATTCCAGAGTGTAGTCGATCATCGGAACGCCAACGAGAGGGAGTAGCACCTAGAATTCCAATGAATTGCCATACTATTAGAGTCACACAAAGCGTACCTTAGGGCGCTCCATTGTGATCGGCCGGAAGCGCTGCGTGAAGCTGTCCGCCAGGAGAATCGCTTGCAAGGGAGTGTGAGCTTCATCGTCCGCCATTTCCTGCCCGCGGCGGCCAGCTCTCTGTGCCGCCATTTCCCTCGCGAAAGAATCCCTCTTTCCCTCCCAGCTCTGTTTTTAGGGTTCTTCACACCCAAAATCACAACTAGAAGAAACGCTCTAAAGGGTTTAAACAGTTGTGTCTGGGTGGTGTAGTTGGTCATCACGCTAGTCTCACACACTAGAGGTCCCCGGTTCGAACCCGGGCTCAGACATTAGGTTTTTAATTTTGTGGTCCCTTTTCATTATTCGAGGCTTTAAATAATTTGAGAAGGATTGCCCTTAGGGATTGCGTGAGAGGGAGCGAGAAGGCGGCCTTGGATTGCTTGTGATCGATCGATCGACCATGGCGGCGAGCATCTTCAAGCAGGAGCACCCACTCGGTGAGCGCCTTTCTTTCCTCGCCGAGAATCTCTTTTCTTAGCTCGATAATCTCGCAGAGAAGAGGCAGAAGGAGGCGGCAAGGATCAAAGAGAAGTACCCCGATCGAGTGCCCGTGAGTAGAGCTTTTCCTTTTTGTTTCCCTGATTCCTTTATGGATCCTATCAGGTAATTGTGGAGAGGGCCGCCAAGACCGACATGGGCGAGATCGATAAGAAGAAGTAAGCGCTCTCTCTCTCTCTCTCTCTCTCTCTCTCTCTCTCTCTCTCTCTCTCTCGGACTCCGGAATTACTCTAAAGCTTACGCAATTCTCTCTCTCTTCTGGGAATTACTCTAAAGCTTTCGCGCGATCTTCTTGCTCGCAGGTACCTCGTCCCGGCTGATTTAACCGTTGGCCAGTTCGTCTATGTGATCCGGAAGAGGATCAAAGTGACTCCGGAGAAGGCAATCTTCGTTTTCGTCAAGAACACGCTACCGCCGACTGGTATGAGCCGTCGAGACGTAATCCCACGTATATTGATTTACACTGTTCCTTTCCTTTTGTAGCGGCATTGATATCGACCATCTACGAGGAGCACAAGGACGAGGATGGATTCCTCTACTTCACGTACAGCGGGGAGAATACCTTCGGCCAAGAAGAACACTAGGCTAGAAGAAATCCTCCTTGACACTGCAACGCTCAAGGGAGCTTCTTTCCTTTCTTTGTACAAAGCGATTTCTTTGTTCATACAGATTTATTAACCAGCATATTCCCAAAACCATTCCTTCCAATAAGATCGGCCATCTTTTGGCGAATTTCTCCCTGCAAAGAAACTCTTCCGAGATCACGCTATGGAAGAACTTCTCTTAAGCCACGATTTCTTCCAGCGAAATTCTAGCATTGCTTTACTTGATATCGAGAGAAAGCTTCTCCTCGGCTATCGATCGGATTCACACAAGTTTCACGTCTTTCAGTGACAGCCACCTGAAATTTTCAACAATGAGCCGCACATTCTCTCCAAATTCGAAATTCAAATACCTTCTTTCCCGCCTGTTCATAGCCAAGCTTTTACTTACGTGATCACCACCGGGTCCGAATCGTTGGCCTCACTTCCACCACCACCGTGATGGCTCTGCTGCTCGTTAACTTTCTCCCACTGCTCCTCGTCGTGCGGCCGCTCCCACGAGAGCTCCGGGATGGAGTCGTGCAAGGCATCGTCGATTGTCGAGTTGGAGCACGTCGATCCACCGTCTTGAGCAGCGATCGTCTCGGATGGAGCTGGAGCTGGAACTGGAGCTGCTAGAGCAGGGGCTGGAGATGGAGGCTCTTCGACAATCGCCGGCTTTCTTCCAATGCTTTCCAGGCCTTTGCGGAGCGCAACATATCGCAGGACCAGCTCCTTGTACTGCGTGAGCAGAGACTCGACGTCTTCGACTCTCAAGTCTCCGGCACTCGCATAGAGAAACGGGTACTCCTTTGCAAGCTGACCGCTTCTGTCCGCTTCCACGACCCCGGACGCTCCCCCGGCTTCCAACTTTGCCACAGAGAGCTCCGAGCTCTCCTTTGCTGTTCTCTTTGTTGCTTCGTCCGGCTTCGTAATGGAACCCTCCTTCTCTTTCGGCAGCAGTAACTTCTCGGGTGGTGTCGAAGGAAGGCCCGGCGGGAACACGACTGACCGAGCATTTTGCATCCTTTCCTCAAACTCAGCTTCGTCCATTGACAGTGACTTTGCGTCCAGCTTCTCGATGAATGATTCCACCGATACCAGGCTCGTGTAGAAGTAGGATGCCTCTGCAACCAGCCGGGAGCTGTGCCTGTATCTCTCGATAAATTGGAGATTTGAATGGAGCTGCGGTGGATTAGCCTGACAAAAACGTTGGAAGCTTTTGGTTAGTCCATTCTTACATAGACATGAGTCGAAAAGAAACATGAGTCGAAAAGAACCTTGATAACGACGTAAATGAGAGCTGGAAGGAACTCTTCAGCTCCGGGAGGCGTGCCGCTCTTGGCCATGAGCAAGAGATTGTTGATCACTCGACAGCAGTTTAGGATGCACACCAGCTTGTCCCTCGGAGCTTTGTAGCTGTTAATCTTTTGGAGCTCCTTCTCGGCGATCTATCATAGGCTCTTAATTCCATGAAGTCACCGGAAGCGGAAAAAAGAACTTACCAGCCATGATGCTTCGTTTTGAAAACTTTGAGGAAGATCGAGGTGCTCCGGCTTGATAAAGTGTTGTAGCAAGCTGATCTTGTCCGAGAGCTCTTGGTCCTTGAGAGAATCCGACGGGAGTGGCGAGTAGGCTCGCGTAAAGATCTTTGTCATCACGTACTTTTCAAGTCCCTGCACAGCTCTATCAAGTTTTTTTAGAACAGCGAGAGGACAGACTTACGTACCTCTGCGGCGTTTTCGAGCTCTTCTTCCGTGGCTCCAGCCCACAAGGGATGCGCTCTAAACGCAACCTCCGTCGTGCTCAGGAAATCCTGCGCGCTGGCGCTGTCCATTGCCGGATCAATCGGGCTACTCATGAAATTCACAATGAAGCTGTCGAAAAGATCCCATTTTTCAGCGAAAGAGGAAGGGATCAGATCGAAACGACAATGAAGAAATGCCAGCAGACCTCTTGATGGAGCGCACGAGATCGGCAGCTGATGGATGCTTCATCCGCTCCAGGAAATCGTGGAACGTCTGCTGCTTGGTAGCTGCATTAAACATATCCGAATTCTCCATCGCCGCTGCACACCACGGATCGCGGCTGTCAATCCTCAATCCCCCGGATTGAAATGCGCGCGCGCAGGCAAATCGATCGATCCAAGCATCGCACCCAACGCACCTTCCACGAGACGACGAGCCCTAAACACCCGAGAAGAAAGCCCTAACCCATCCGCGTGGCACATCTAAACCCCGATTACATCTAATCCCAAAGATAAAAGAATAGTTTAGCTTTCAAATGAATGCGGCCTTTGTTCTTTCATCATTTCTTTCCTCCCTTTCTTCTCTCTTTCAGTCGTTCGTTAGCAACTTTTTGGCTTGATCATCCTCGATAGTAACTCGAGAGCTGCGAATTCCAACACACCCAAATTATTAATCGCCCTCGCATTCTACCAGAACGAACAGCGGAGTACCACCCAGTTTCTCCTGTCCCTGAAGTACACAGACACAAGCACAGAAGCGCACTGGAATCAATCCAAAGTACTACGAGCGAGCGAGCGAGAGAGAGAGAGAGAGAGAGCGAGGCGCAAGTTGCCAGGCGATCGAGAGTACCTTCTGGTCTACCAATCCGATAACGCAAGCACATTCTACCACCTCCGCCTCGGCTCTTTCTGCTCGTAGAAAACAAACCAAAAGGAGAAAAGAGCATAAGAAAGCGAACGAGGAGGACGAACAAGGACGAAGCAACAGTATTCGTTTACCCAGTAATCTGATCGCTGCCCGGAGCGTACCGCCTGTCGCGATGAGGTCGTCGATGACGAGCGCTCGCTCGCCCGCAGTGACCGCTCCAACATGCATTTCCATGCAGTCCTTGCCGTACTCTAGCGTGTAGGCCTCGGAAATGGTTTCGCCTGATCACCAAGGGATCCCAACAGCATCAATCAAAACGTCCCAGGGACAACCGACTTTTACCAGTACCTGGCAATTTTCCGGGCTTCCTGAGCGGTACAAACTTGGCACCGAGCGCCAGAGCGATAGGCGCACCGAAGATGAATCCACGAGCTTCAATGGCTGGATCAAGGAAAAGTTGAAGAGATTAATCAGCAGAAAGGGAACAAAAGCAGGGAGGTGAAACTTACCCGCGACTACGTCGATCTTCTTGTCCGAGTACCTCTCGACGAACAAGTCTATGGTGTCTTTAAACGCCTTGTAGTTGCTCAGAAGAGTTGTCACGTCTCGAAACTTGATCCCTGGCATTTTTCCCACGAGCAATCAAATCATTCCAGCCGGAGCTTCGCCTTGCATGCGCAAAGAATTCGCAGGCGCAGCGGAGAAAAAGCGGAGACGCGGCGCACGCAGATTTCCGCAACACCACTCGCAAAAAGTCAATCACAAAAACAATCACAAAACAACCCCGTAATGACATGACCGCGATGCCGCGCTTAAAATAATCCCACCTCGCGGAGTGAGGAAAAATAATTTGGGCAACACGGACGAGCACACACTTTCTCGGGCGAGCGAGCGAGCGACAGAGATCGTGGAATTTCCATTCCATTCCCTTTTAGGCAGCACGATCGCCGGCACGAGATGGAGGGAGAGAATTAACAGCCAGGAAGAGCAATGCACGACCGTGGGGCCTCGAGTGCCGCATTACACACAACGCATCGACAGATCCAAGCAAGAAAAGGAGAGAAAGGCAAAAGGAATGCGATTGCGCGATGCCGCCGCCAAGAGATTCGAGCTGATAGAGAGCGAGCGATATTATACCTGGCTTTGGGAAATCGGGCACCACGCGGATGGCAGCATCGATGCCCGCGACGCGCTTATCGCCCTCGTCCTCTCGCGACATGGCGTCTCCTCCCCAAGAATAATAGAAACCCTTGAGCTCTACCAAAAGCTCTCTCTCTCTCTCTCTCTCTCTCTCTCTCTCTCGCGTCTCTCTCGCGTTCTCTCCCTTCCCCTTGCGTGTTTTTAACTCACCTATTGTGTTTTTCCCCCTTCCTCTCGCGGCCCACGCCCGTACGGCACATGGTCCCAAAACCCATGCGCATTCCGTACACTCGGGAGATTTGGTGCCAGTGCACGGGCGGGGTTCGATCCGATCTCGCGACCACAACCGGCGCACCGGCGGCTCCGGTCGCGCGTGGGTTGGTTTGGCGGACGATTTTGGCGGGGCTAGAATGTATGGGATGGGAGTGCTTATCCAACGTTTGTGGGCATATGATGACCTACCTAAAGACTTGCAAGATTCGGGCCATCAATCACAAGATTTTTGGGCACTGTTGATCAAATCTTGTGGTGGTGCTGGTGGTAATGGTAACTAGGACTTTGTTCTTTGGCCTTATATGTTCCCCAAGCTTTTTTCAATTGCATTTGGTGTGCACCACTACCGAGAATCCGCACATTGATTGCAACATTTTGTGGCGCGCCCTAATTTTTCCTGGGGGGTGGTGGTGGTGGTGGTGGTGGTGGTGGTGGTGGTCACTGGCGTGGGTGTGATAGCTCCTGCTCACCAAAAGAACAAGCAAGTTGGGGTGACATTGCCAACTTGATACAAGACAAATTCTGTTGTATTGGAGGGGAGTATGGGACATGGGGAATGTTGACCCCAACGGGAACCGGTATCAATTCTCCAAATATGCCCCCCGCTTAAACAATTGCTCGCAGAGATCTTGCTCTGATTTGGTGCATGTCTTTGAAATGAAAACAATATATTAACAATAATACTTTTAATTCAAAATACTTTGAGCCCAGTAGAAATTTCTCAATGCCCGTACAGGTAGAGGTGACCAGGGGAAAGAAAAACAAAAAATTATTCTTGGCAAAGTTCTCTTTGTTATTATTGTAGTCCTTTTGGCCGAGGCTTTTGCAGCCTTGGCTCATGTTGCTCCAGGACGCACACACACACACACTCACCCCGGGTTTGACTCTGGTCTCCCTCTTTCTCTCTCTCTCTCTTTTATTTTTTCCTTTATCACTTTTCTTTTGGAATCAAATGCGTGGGATGGGAGAGAGATCGGGCTGCTACACTGCAGTGCACTGCGCGCATCATGTTGGATAAGAGATAAGAGAAGTGGACCACATCTGCAGCGAGCGAGAAAATTTTGTCATGGGGGGCGGCAGAGCAGCGCCAGTAGAGTAGCAGCAGAGATTTGGGGACGATTTTCGTTCATGAATGGAAGTTTCTTGTCCACTTGCCTGGGACCGGCGTAGCTCGCACTAACCGCCAAGACCCCCTCCGTACGGCTTAAACCCTAGCCCCCGTACGGAAGGGCAACTTGGTACCGCAAAGGAGCGGGGGAAGAAGTCGCGAAAGCAACGGTGGTGGCGTTAACAGCGCTATGGATTCTCGCCCGCCCGCCAGCACGCCGCGCGTGGCCCCCTGTATATTTTACGCGCTGCCTGTCGGCCCTCTCTTTGCTTTGCTGGTTAACACACTTGGGTGGCGAGTTTGACGCTTCCGCTTGCGCCCAAGATCAGTGCGGCTCGGATATCCAATCGCACACATCATTTCAGAGCATCACGGGTACGCTCGTACGCGCGAAAGGCCCCCGGCAACAAGTCCCCACCGTCAAAAAACTTTGACAAGGCCAACAAAGTTACAAAGTTACGAGCGTGAACTGAGAATGCGAGAGCATTTGTTCGTTCCATCTGGGCTCTAGACAATCATTTTAGTGATACTTGGGTTGATTCGTTGGTTTTCTCGAGGCCGAATCACTGCAATGACGAAGATCGACCGCAAGCCAATCTTCTACTTGGCAACTTCTTTATTTGGCTCCATTTTTCTCAACGCCGAGCCCGATAGGACGGCGGTAAGAAACAAAAGAAGATTACCGAACAAGCTCTAGGATGACGCCAGTGATATCCAATCGTCTGGATACCGAGCATTCCGGTAAGCTATCCATCGGCAGCAAGGAGCACGTCATTGAAGAAAAAGAAAATGAAAAGAAAAGGAAATACCTTCACTACTGAACGCTCAAGGGTGAGGATCCCAGGACGGTTTCCTCAGATGCTATTCCCACCGCTGCTGCTGCTGCTGCTGCTGAGCCTCCACATGAATTCCTGCGTTGCCGAGGAGATGGATTCTCTACTTCCAGGCCTCCGATTGACTTGCGCTTGAGGCTCTCCCGCCGGGTGCTGGAAACCGCTTCAGGAGTAGTCTCTAGTGCTGCCTCGTTGGCGTCCAACGCCGTTCGTGGTACGCTCTCTGCTTCAATGGCCAGCGCTTGTGCTTCAGCAAGGATGGTTGCACTGTCTTCCGCAGCGTATAAGATTTTTTGAATAGCGAGCACCGCCTGGAAATAACATCCGGGTAAAAAGGTGATGCCAATACATAATAACAGAGCGTACCGGGGCATTTTCAATGGCTGGAGTCTGACACAGAATCTCGATATCGCGCAGCTTTGAGAAATAGAAGTCCCTCTCTTTCTCGAGACTGTCCACTGACAGCTTGAGCTCCGTGATCTGCGAAATCAAGTAGGTATGAAGACGTTGGAACAAGTTGCCAAGTACCTGTTCTTGAAGAGCATAAAGTCTGGCTGGCGTTTGTGGAGCCGATCCAGTAGGAGGGACGACGACTGCTGCTGACATTAGTTGCTTGGTTTTAACTGTAAAAAATGTATCAGTGATTGATAGCCGTGTAACCAGGAGCTTACGAGGATTTGGAGTTTCAGATGAGCGAGGAGCAGAAACAGTTGAGTTACTGAGCTTGGCATTGTTGGAAGCTTTTAAAACTGCAGCAGAGTTGACGTGTGATGCTCGTTTACTAGCCTCCTTTCCTCCCCTGCAAGCTTCGCGCCTTTCAACTGGATTGTAGCTGAAACAATCAAATAAGCAACCAAGAAAAATAAAAGTGGAAACGATACCTTGGGGCTGGAGCTCCACCATTAACCGAGTCGCAGTAACGCTTGAGCCACTGAACGAACTCAAGGTTGTCCAAGGGTCGGCCTTTGGTGAGCTTCATCACATCAATATGCTGCCAAATCGTTCACAAACTTTAGATTCTCACGATCTATTCCGACTGCTTTTACCTTGCTGATTTTGAGTTTGTTGAAAACATCCTGGAGAACCTTGTAGTTCTGTATCATTTCATATTCGTTCTTAGCGTCGTAGTTCACCTGTCAGTGAAATAGCAAAGAATTTTTAGGAAAATCAAACAAAGAGTCTATCTTCCAGACCTTGTGCATCGGCACAACACCCGGATGTGTAGCATCCATCAATTGGACATAGATCGCCCCGCTAGATGCCTGCGAAGCATCCACAAAGCAAATATTTTGCAAGATAAGATGGGATTCTCTCCACATTCTCACCTCTTCAATCTTGGTAAGACTGAGCTGAAGCGTGGTGTTGATCCAGCCAAGAATCTCATTCCTCCCGACGAAGTAGGCGCCATCCATCATCCCGATGTTCGCAGCCGCCATGGCCAACACTCCCCTTCCCTAGAACCCTAGAAATAGTTCTTTTGAAAGAGGGAAAGAGTAAAGTAGCCGTTGAGGAGAGAGCGGTCTGGCGTTCGATATCGTCCTAGCGCTTCCATGTTTAGGGTTTAAGGCTGTTGTGGCTATGGAGCAGCAGGATCTCCAGTGCTCGATGCAAGCGGTGGAGCAATCTTGCGCGGCTCTCCATGTGAGATTTTATCTCGATCGATCACTGCTGAGCGGTGAATGCAGGTATCTGATCCAGGGATCCGATCATCGGCGGAAGCGACACTGCTGGCTTTCAGAAAATCTCCGCATCCATTCTACGCCTGCCAATATATTCTCGGTAAATAGCTACAGTCTTCGTGCCTGTGAATCTTATAACACTCCATCGCGATCCAGAAAATTCCCAGGTCGCCACAGCCAAATTTCTAGCGGCTGCCACGATCCAGGAGGCCGCAATACGGGAATGGACTTTGATATCTCCAGAAGAAAAATCAAGACTGCGAAGGTATGTGTGTGTTTGTTTGTGTATCGACCATTTTTTCTACTTGCTTCACTATGGTTTTGGAGTGGTGTTATTTTAGCTATTGCTTACAATACGTTATGGCTCGAGTGGAAACATCCGAAGGGTACATTCTATCAAAAATTTTGTCTGTGGTGGCAGCACTGCTTAAACGTGGTTGGTAAGCAGATCTTCAGGCTGAAATCCACGTTTGGATCTTTGTTTTTCCACAGGCTGGAGTACACCCAGGCTGAGAAGGCTTCTTTTCTTGAAGAGGTAAAAGCGTTTGTGCAAGTTCCTTGACGACATCGCGACTGAGCTGAAAAGATTTTTATACAGGTTGAGCAGGCTGTCGCCGGAAGACACGGTCTTGCTGCCCAGCGGTTTGGCATCTCATTACTTGAAGCATTGGTAAGCTGGTAATGGACATATTGCAAGTGTCGTGACTGTTTCCAATTTCTTTCTTTTTTCAGGTGTCCGAATTCTCGCTCTCCACCGCAAGTCCGATGGGCCTCCCTGCGGAGTTTCATGATAAATGTCGTGCTTCTTTGGAGGCGGGCTATTTACAAGTATGATTCTTTTTTCCAGTTGCAGTTTCATATGTTGATGGTTTTTCTAATTTGGCTTTTAGAAATTCTATGCATGGGCATTTGATGCTTCAGTTATGGTGGCAAGCAAAGCGCTTGAAGGACAAGGAGAGAATCAAGAGTCAGCGATCTGTACTATAGCAATCCGGCTGATGACCCAGATTTTGAACTGGGAATTTCGTGGTAAACTCGCTGTTCTTGGTAAAAGTCGTGCAAGCACTCTGTCCTCGTCGCCCGCAAGCAGAAAATCTTCTGAGCAATTACAGGTACAAATAAGCATCGCATGACGTTTGTAATGGTTATGATGTTCAGCTCTGGCACGATCTTCTAGTATCACCCGCGAAAGTGACATGGATATTGAATTTCTACGAACACATTCATCAAAAGGGCAATGCTTGGCTAGACTTGCCTCTTTCCGTGGTTGTCAGGCAACTTATCGTTCTTATGTGCTCTTTAAATGGAAGCATTTTTCCTACTGGTAAGAACGTCGGTGTTTTTGTTTTGCATATCTCACTAAAGTGTATCACTAAGCAGATGGGGCTGGTACGCAGGAACAGCACTTGCAAAGATTACTGAACTGCATTATTTCGTGGATTGATCCCCCAGAATATGTAATTAGTGCTGTCCTAGCGGGAACAAGCGAAAGGTTCGATTCTTTGCGCTCGTTCGTAATTGTTTTCCATTTTGCTAACACAGCTAGCTTGTTAGCGAGATGTTGGATGGATGTCGTGCACTACTAGCGATTGCGACACTATGCTCGCCGTCCTCTTTCGATCAACTGTTATTATCATTCAGGTGAAATTTCCTATGGGCATTTGTTGTGATTGATACTAAATTTCATCAGGCAAACCGGTACACTGAGCTTGCTTTCTTCTTTGACATGTGGAATTATTAAGGCCAGTTGTGTCCGGGAATCTGAAGAACCAAGCTGGACTTACGAGGCTTTAGAAGTGCTTCTGGAGACTTGGACTGTGATTTTGCAAGTATGCTTAATTAAGTTTTACGTCGGGTTCAACAGTTTTTTTGTACAGCCTGCAGATCTTAGCCAGAAAGTACCACTTCCGCCAAGTGGAATAGAAGCCGCCTCTGCAGTGTTTCAAACATTTGTGGAATTCGAAATGAAACGTGAGTTCTTGGAATCTTTATGATGTTACATAAAACTCACAGCTGCTTAGAATTACAGTATCAGAATCATCTGCTTTAGACGAAGATGATGCTGATGATATGGCTGCTTTTTCCGATGAAGGTTCTGTTTTTCTCTTTCTGATTTCTATTTTTCCAGTTCTGATGACCGCTTGTAATTTTTATCAGCCCGGGAGGATCGCCTGAGTGCCGTTGCACTTATTGCTCGTACTGTTCCATCTGTATCTCTTTCATTGTTGACCATGCTAGTCTCGAAGTGTTTTTCGGAAATTCGACAGGTGCATGCAATTTTGTTGCTTCCTTTTTCCTCACCTCTTTTGTTGTGCTAGTCCTTAGGATCGGAGACCACAACACGGTGCTTGGAACAACTGCACTGGCTTACGATCCTCTCGGGACATGTTTTGGCGGACCCCGGAGAAGGAGAAACTCCAACGGTTTGGACCTGTGCTTTGTTCTTTGGAAACATTAACCAAGTGTCCTGTATAGGTGCCTGAATCCATTTTGGCCGTTTCTGCGGAACCAGCGACCCATCCTGCCGTATCTCTTTCTTTGTAAGCTGCCTTACTTAAGGTCTCACAAATAAATTCTGCTTCTTGTTCAGTGCTCTCATCGATGTAGCCCAACAATCTTTAGATGCTACTTTTCGAACTACTTTAAGTCCGCGAATGATGGAGGTAAGCTTTTGTCATAAGACACACAGATGTCATTTGATTCTGTTGTTAGGCTATTGTATGGTTTTTTGGAAGATGGGTGGAAACATATCTCATGCCGGATCACGCTGGCCGAGGACCTAGCTCTACACCATCGGGTCATGAAGGACAGGGAGTTTCTGTAGGTGTCTTGTTTGACGGAAGAAATGCCCTGAATGCTGCTTTTGGCAAAGATGGCGGAGGACCGGCAGTACTAGAGATTCTCGTTCGGGTAGCATTAACAAGTCTGACTGCGTGGCGAGGAGAGCAAGTATTGCAGGTGCGAACTTTTTTTTTTTTTTTGGTACTATTTACGTTCATGTCGTGCAGGAATACGTGTCCTCTCGTCTTCTTCCAGCGCTAGTGCGGAGGCGAAATGTATGCGTGCAACTACTGTCGATGGTAACTCGCTCGCTGCCTCCTTCTATTAACTAACTTTTTTGTCCAGGGCTCTTGGCAGGAGCTAGCGACTGTTTTTGCCCGCCAGGACCAAATGCTTTTGTCGCTTTCAGATTCAGTTCAGGTATGAATAGCCAGCTGAAATGTTTTTTCATGCAAGTTTACGTCATGTTCTAGCGAGCTCTATCCGGATGCTTATGTCGATCTGCGCAAGGCCTGGCAAATGCTGATGCCGCAAACCAGTTAAGTCGATGGTGTTTTAAAACTTAGTTCTTAACATGCCAAGCTATAGTTATGTCAAGGATCTTCTTATGCCTATGGCTGCTAGCCTAGCTGAATTCTCTGGAAGGAAAGACCTGGCGACATTTTCTCAACAACCGAATGTTATTCACCAGGTTAGATTGTTTGTGTCAGAAGTTCTCTTATTCACATGCACTGCAGGTGAGCTGTGTGCTTGAAAGGCTGCGTGGTGCAGCAAGAGAAACAATACCGCGAACTCAAAAAGCCATATTTGAAGTTGGTGTGTCTATCATGAAGCCTTTGCTGGTGTTTATGGAAATCTACAAAAATCAGGTAGCATTGCTCACGAGCTGCTGTTTTTCATTCATTGTTCTTGCAGCCATCTGTTGTTTACTTGCTACTAAAGTATGTTGTGGTCTGGGTCGACGCGGAAGTTGTTTTCCTAGAACCCAAGGACACCACTACGGTTTTCAACTTTTGCGTTCAGCTTCTCTCAGTTTATTCTGCACATAATATTGGCAAGGTACGTGTTTTTGTTACTGTTTAAAACGTCGCTTCACACGGTGTCTTTAGGTTTCTGTTTCAACATCTCGAAGCTTACAAAATGAAGCGCAAACCGAGAAATATAAAGACCTCCGAGCATTGCTTCAGCTGCTTACAAATCTGAGCTCCAAAGATTTGGTATGCCTTGCTGTGCTTATCTTTCTTTAACAACTTGTTTCGTTTGTGTAGTTCGATTTTGCACTGCATGCAGACGAAAATCCCGATGTAGCACAGGTAGCTTGGTTTCTTTCATCGTGGTAGTAGCCTAACGTTTTCGCACAGGTTGTGTATCTTGGGTTAAATATCATCACCCCTCTCATTTCAGCTGATTTGTTGAAGTACCCCAAGCTCTGCCGGCAGGTTTAATATCCTGTTATATTGTAGACAGACGTCTAGCTCTAACCTTTTCCCGTTTGCTAGTATTTTACATTACTGATGCACATGCTGGAAGTCTATCCTGAGAAGGTGGCGAAGATATCACCAGAAGGATTTAGCCAGATCATAGGAACACTCGAGTTTGGATTGCGGCAACAGGTTCGTGTTTATTTTCTCAACGAGCTCTGCATTTAAATGTCTCGCTTACGCAGGATGTGGAGGTCGTAAATATGACATTGAGTGCTCTCGGTGCGCTAGGTGTCTTCCAGTATCAAGCACTGTGCAAAGGCGACGATGGCCTCGGAGCTCAATCGCGTACGAGCGGCGGCGACGATGTGCTGTCTCATTTTCTAAAGCTGCTCATGCATTTCTTGCTGTTCGAGGATTACAGGTGAGCAAGCTTGCTGGTATCCTTGTTTATCTAACTGGATGGTGTTTACAGTAATGATCTTGTCGAGCCTGCCGCTGATGCTTTACTTCCGCTAATTCTTTGCAACACCGCGCTGTTTGAGGTAATCCCGTTGTGAATCGTTCGTTTTATGGCTCATAAACGCTGTCTTGCCAGAAACTCAAGCAAGAGCTCGTCCAAAGACACCAAGACGTGGAGTCGCAAGAACGGGTCTCTACCGCGTTCCATTCGCTGTCAAGAGGGATCGAGATCGCGTCCACGATAGACCGTTCCATTCGTCGCAAGTTTAGGAGCAACTTATTTGTGTTCTTGAATGATCTCAGGGGATTCCTGCGTACTCGGTAGCTATCTTATTAAGCCTTGAGGATTTTGATATCGATCTTGTACAAAGTATCAGATTTATTATCAATTTAGTTTAAAAGATGTTAAGTAGTATACTAATAACTATATCATTTATGTTTATGATTTATACATCTTTTTCTTTTTCCTTTACGATATGTTTGCTTTCCTCTAGTTCAAAGTCCACTGTAGACCTTCCACAAATTGTTGGCGTGCTCGTTTATCCATCTGGGGAGGGAGCTGAGGGACGTTGGGAGGGTGCAATTGCAATGATTCTTCTTTCATTCATGCTCTTATTCAAAGTGTTGCGGGTGCGAGATTTTCCAACGTTGTTCTTGACAGGAACCAGCGCATTGGCGTAAACAGGAGAGCCATTTTGCACAGCCAGGCTGTAGTACTGATAGTCTTTCTTCCCATCATCTAAGAGCTGAATATCTGTACTGCTGTTGGTGTAGCAATGCTGAACACAAACATATATGAGCATGAGCATAGCTGATCAGCCTCTCAACACCAAACAAATATGTAACTTACCGTCATTTTTGAAATCTGAATACAACTTGGGGGCTTGAACAGACACAAGGTGCCAGCAATTTATAGCACAACATTGGGGATACGGATAATGTCCCTGATTTATAAGGATGGTATAGATCTCGACTCCTCGTTTCCAGCAGAGCGTTTTCAGGGAGAGACCTGTCCAAGTGCAGATGGAACTTAAAACAAACACATGAGCAAAGAGACTAAAGGACCGGAGAGTGAACTTCATGCATTGCATTTATGTAGTTAGGTCCCATGCTTTTAAATATATTTCAGAAACTGGCATCAATTTCTGGTTGAAGAAGTCTGATATTTAAAAGATGTGTCAAACGGAATTGTTTTTTTACTGGCATTAATGAAATACTTTATCCAGGTGTTTACTAGATTTTGTATCTCTCTTGAGTGGTACAGTCAGTCTCTGATTCTCACAATCAATAAATTCTCCAAATTTCTTCCCTCTGAAATTATACACATAGGATTATAGGTATTTTAATTTTATAATATAATTAACTTTACTTTTTGAGGAGGGCATTGACAGAGTTGACGGTGAGGAAGCCAGCCATGAGTTTGCCGCTGGTCATCCTCAGGTCGTCGATAATGTAGCTCCAAGTCGAGCCTAGCACCCCCACGAAGAAATCACACTCGGCAGCCATCACCAAGTTGACGTAGCTAGCGTCGAAAGCTTGCCTGCTTCCCAGCGACGCCATATACTCGGCCATGCTCACCGTCCCAACTTGCCTTGGAATGTCGCTGTAGTAAAAGTTCCACTCCTTGTACTCCTTGGATTCCTCCACCACATTCTAAAACACAGTCAAAGTTTTAATGGCCGCGAGCTCGGAAGAAAATGGCTTACCTGCATTTCCGTGGAAAGCCACACGTTTCGCAAGTGTGGAAACCTCCTGCGAAGAACGTTTGCAAGCTTCATGTACTCCTCGAACGAGATTACTTGCATCTCCTTGGCTTTGTCTCCCTGCCTCACATGAATGCTCACCAGAGGCCGCGGCATCCAGGGGCCATAGCTGCTCCACACCAGCTCCTCCAGGGGATTGCTCTCGTTGAGTTGCAAGCCAGCGGGCCATTCGCTGGCGGGAAGAGTTTTGATCACGAGCTTGGCTGCTTCCTCGCCGAAGGCCTTGTGCCTCTCTTGGTTGAGGAGGTTGCACAGGTACTCACTGGGATATCGCGTAAGGTAGCGCAGTGCCTGGATCAATCAAACTCTTCAAAGTTGTTTTCTCAAATAACAAAAAGCAGCGCTTAGACTTGCCTGAGCTCTCCACCATCTTCGATGGTTTGCGCTGTAATTCAGGAGCTTGCAGTCGAGCCCCACCGTTGGTTGCATTGCCTTCCATGGCTCCCCCCAGAAGCTACATAGTTTTCAAAACAACAATGTCAAGAAAAGCAATAGATATCAAATTCTCACCTTGGAACCGGACCATCCCATTGATCCCCGCTAAACTCCTTGATAATTCCCTCGTCCCAAGCCTCCTTCTGCGACGAAAGCTGCAATGCCCTGGCGATGCACTCCTCGGACGCCTCAAGAGCAAAGTAGCATGACCAGCGAGCGTGGTTGGCTCCTAAAGAAAGACCAGCTCTACCTGGTAAAAGGAATTATTCAAGTTAAGAACCTGTGCATCCTTCGTGCCTGGCGCCGTGGTAGTCTTTGGTGATGAAAACCCGGCCTTGGATCAGTGCCGCTCCAAACATCCCAGCCATGGACACCATGTCCGATCCAACTCCAACAGAGTCCCGCGTCTCGTCGTGGTGCCAAAAAGCCAGTAAAAACCTCGCGTTGCTACAGTTTTTGGGGTTCTGGTGCAACCATAGCTCGCGTTGGACACGTCGTGTTAGCGGGAGATTATCTTCATCACCGCCATTCGCCTGTAAGAGCCAAACGAGAGAAAGAACAAGAGTTTCTCGGGTAAGTTATAGCTTCTAAAGAGTCGTACCCATGGAATAGTCGTCTCTGGAACATGGACGCTGTTAAGTTCCTGTCCTTGTTGGAGAAATCCTTTGAACCTCCAGGATGGATCTTCGCGGCGATCATACGTCGCTTTAGCCTCGGTGACTCGCCTGCAATCTTGGATGTGCGGTGCATTGATCGTCGCCTTTCTGGAACTCGATCGGTCATCCAACTCGCTGCTCCACAGGTCGACGAGAAGCTTGGCTTTGCTCGCCGCAGCAGCGGTCGCAGAAGTTAATCCCGCAGTAGTCGTAGCTGTTGTATCCTGTTTCATCCAGTTCATTCGAAAACCGATCAGGACAACCAAGTTCAAAGACAATATCCAAAACAGGAGCCCTTTGAAAGAATCCATCTGGATGGTGGCGTGTTTTCTTCTTTCTTCATCGGGTCGAGGCTTTCTAGACTTGGTACGGAAAAGCGTGACAGAGTGCGAGCACCTAACTAGACGATCACACTTGGTATGCTCAAAACATTCCAGTAAGGACGAGGGGACGACGAATGTGTAAGGAAAGAAAGCGTGATGAACTTCCAAGGCCAGCAGAAGAAGTGTGAATCAGATAGATGGATATGACTTACTGCGTTTGTGTTCTTCACCACGATCTAGTAACTCCAGGCACTGAAACATGTAAAATAGTGTATCCAGAAAAGTCACTCAAAGAAACTACTAACGCGTGAATCTGCGGAAGGAGCTTGAGTGTGAGCAGGAGCCAAGTCCAAACGCGAGCCCGAGCAAAAGCCCGAGTATGTGCTCGAGCCCGACGTTAGTCGATGAAAAGAAGAATTTAAGACGAAAGGATACTTCCAAGCTTTTCGCTTCTCCGAAAAATAAACTATCCAAGTCCGTACCTGCATTGTGGAAGAACGCAAGATACTATTTTTCTTTCGCATAAACCTTAAAAGCCTTAAATGGCAGTTAAAAAGCTATTACCATCCCCATCGTCCAAACAAGCCTTTCTTCTTCTCTTTGAGACGAGCTTCCAACGACGGGAACTCGATGGAATTGATGGCCGTGTCCAGGAATATGGGACGGCAAGGGACGGCCTTGAAAGCGGGAGGGACTTGTGAGATTCGCGGTGCCGCGCCAGGCGAGCCCAAGGCTGACTTATACTTGTCCAGCTGAGAAAGAAGATAGTTATCCTGGAACAAGGAAACCAGCTCAAGCCAATGCAATCGAATCGAGAGAGCTACGAGTACCTTTGATTCCGCGAGACTCAGGGAGGAAACTCCTTCTTGGGCTTCTTGTTGCTTCTCGAGGCTCTGCATCACACCTCGGGCATGGGCCAAAAGACTTTCACTTCTGCATTGGCCTATAAGCTCCTGTATTTCTTCCACCAGGGATTCGTTCTTCTTTTGAAGCCGGAGCGCGGACTCGGCATGCTCACGAGCACGCCCAAGCAACGCAAATGCTTCGGCGTGTTGGCCTGCGAGGCTATACGCTTGTGCGAGATGAAAGCATCTAGAAAATGCAATCGGTCAGTGGAGCAAATTATATGCTTAAGCGCAGGCTTGTTACCTCTCAGCGCGGTAGAGAACCTGGCTCGCAGACAACTCCAGGGCATACTTTTCTTCCTCGTCCGTTTTCTCTCTTCCAGATGTTGCCAAATCGGTTAGCTCCATAAGGTTCTGCAGTCAAGAGAGCGTTAGCCATCTTTCCTTGCAGCTTGCAGAAGTACTTACAGTGTTTAAAGTATCGCAGAGTGTCACGATCTCTTGAAGCGTTGCAAGATCCTGCTGCCGACTCAGCCGGCTCTTGGCTATAGACAATTGCAGTCTGGCACGCTCGATCGTTCCTGCAAAAATCAAGCAGCTAACAGCTTTGTCCAGCCCGATCAACGAGTCCCGCAAATTGTCAGCATTTCCAGCTGTTGCCAGGTCCTCGCGTATGTTCTTCCTCGCCTCTTGATAACCTCCTAGGATTTTCTCGTACAGTCCCTGTTTTTTCTCCGCTGTCGAGGAAGATCCAAGCTCTCTTTCAAGATTTTGAACTGTAACATCAGACAAAGAAGATGAGAACAAAAAATAAAGCAATGTCTTCAACGTTAGACTAACCTTTCAAGACACAAGCTCGTGTCTTGATATTATGAACTGGGAATTTGTGTCCTAACCAGGTGACACAAACTGTTGAGATCTCTTCTTGTGTTTTGACTTCTACCATAACAGCCTGCAATGCTTAAGAGTCATAAACAATACTTCAGAGTTGTAAAGGTCGTACCTCTAATTTACCATGCAGTTCCCGGTCTGATTCATCCTCAGGACCTTCCGCATCGTCCATCTGCTGGAGAGAATGCAAGCAATGGCGAATGTTTTGTTCAATTTCTTCGACACGCTGCTTGTAAAGGATCTGATTGTCAGCGTCTCCATACCGTCCAAGTTCTTCGTAGATGATCCTGTTTCACAGAGATTAAAAAAAAAACATATTCCACGTAATCAGTGTCTTACCGAGCATTCTTGAACTTTCTCAAAGCAAATTGCCAGTTCCTCTCGGCATCTACAAGAAGAAGTCCCCTCAAGTAGGAAGCATACGCCTTCCAGTCAAAGAAAAATGAGAACTTGAAGAAACGAGAGACTGATTCCTTACCGTGGCCTCGAGCGCTGTCCTAGGATTTGCTTTCTCATTGCAAAGAGACTCGAGTAAATCTGCCCACTTGCAGGCTTTTCTCAATCGTCCAAGCCAGTGATACCGCCCTTTCCCAGTTGGAGCTTCTTCTTTGAGATGCATAGCTTGGCTCCAAGCTCTCTCGGCCAAGTAGAGGGCAATGTGGAGATGCCTGTCAAGAGAAAACATATCTTGAGCGCGTCAAGCTCGTCCTCTTAGCCTCAAACCTGACTTCCGAGACGTTGGCGACTCCCAGAGGCTTCTTCACGTATCTCCCCCGGCCGTGAGTAAACTTGACCGATTTGTACAGCCGCCGCAGCCGATTCGTGCAGTACTCCTTGTAGCGCTTGTAATCCTTGTGGCGCAATCCATGCTCCGCTTGCGAAGCATTGATCATCTCCAGCACTGGCGAGACCACAGAGAGAGAAATTGGCACCGAAATCGCTCCGATCTACTCGCGACTTACATCCGAAGGAGAATCCCTGCCGCTGCGGCTGCGCTGCGCCTGCCGCAGCCTCCACCTCCATCGCCTCCACTTCAAGAACCCTAACCCCTGCCTAAGCAAAAATGCCGTAAGAAAAATAAGGATATTCGCCGTCCAAGGTACAAGAATATTCCCAAGCATTGACCAGCGGTCAAGATTTTTTATTCCAGGCAAATCCTCGCTGGGAGGAAGAATAGCCAGCAATGTTTGAATTTCTGTGCACACTCATCCAAGGCCTTTTAGAAGCGTTTCTTGGGAGAGAAGAGGAGAGGGATTTTCTTTCTTTCTTCCTTGGCCTTTAATAGAGCTCGCTCCTCCAAATGAAGGCGGAGGCCGCCATGGAGGCGGCGGGCGCTCCTCCTCCGCCAGGCGCGATCGACAAGGACGATGACGGCCGCCCCAAGCGCCAAGGTATGCGATGAGGATCCACGGATTTCCAGCGTTCTTGGAGCCTTGTTTTGATTTCCATTCCCCCAAATCTTCCAGGGACGGTGTGGTCGGCGGCCGCTCACGTAATCACTGGCGTGATTGGATCCGGGGTCCTCTCCCTGGCCTGGAGCTTCGCGCAGCTGGGATGGATCGCCGGCCCGATTGTGCTGCTCATCTTTGCTTACTTGACTTATTACACCTCGGCCTTGCTAGCCGATTGCTACAGGTTCCCGGATCCCACCACTGGGAAGCGGAACTATCGATACAAAGACGCTGTGAAAGTCACATTGGGTGAGTGTTCTTGTTCTCTTCTCTTTTAGTTTTTTCTTCCAATGGTCATTTTTTTCCAACTTCTTTGTTGTCCTTGTAGGGAGAGTGGAATTGTGGCTGTGCGCGCTGGCTCAGTACAGTAATTTGGCTGCCACTGCGGTGGGATACACTGTTACCGGTGCTTTGAGCATGGCGTAAGTGTTTTTCTCTTTCAAGCGTTGAATGACTGATTCGTTTGTTTCTTTTTTCTTTCGCAGAGCAATCGCTCGAGCGAATTGCCTTCACACCAAAGGCTCGAAAGCGTTGGGATGCGGTGTCTCCGTCAATCTGTACGTGACGGCCTTCGGGTTGATCCAGCTCGTTTTCTCGCAAATCCCAAACTTCCACGAGCTATGGTGGCTTTCGTACCTTGCGACAGCCATGTCCTTCACGTATTCAACAATCGTCTTGGTCCTGGGGCTGGCGAAACTTATAGGCATGTATGTTTTGGATTTATTTTTATTTTTTTGTTTTTTTTTTCTCGCAACGCATATCTCAACTCTACATGAATTCGCAGGAAACGGTCGTGTTTCTGGTAGTCCTGGTGGTCTAGTGACGACCCCGGCTCAAAAGACTTGGGCGGTGTTCCAGGCGCTGGGAAACGTTGCGTTTGCCTACTCGTTTTCAATGATTCTGATCGAAATTCAGGTAGCCATCACGACAAAGCTCTCTATCCAGCACACATCTCACGGTTTTTTATTCGACAGGACACGCTAAGATCAACACCCCCAGAGAACAAGACAATGAAGAAGGCAACACTCGTTGGAGTATTAGCCACGACTGCCTTCTACATGTCAATCGCCTGTGTCAACTACGCGGCCTTTGGTGATTCTGCTCCTGGAAACTTACTGAGCCAAGGCTTCGAAAAGCCTTACTGGCTCATTGACTTTTCAAACGCTTGCATCGTTCTCCACTTGGTTGGAGCTTACCAGGTAAGGATCAATGTAAGAACTCTCCTCTGAAAACCAACTTGGCATGGAACTTCCATCAGGTGTACAGTCAGCCTCTATTCGATTTCGTCGAAGCCTGGGCACTGGAGAAATGGCCACACAGCGCTCTCAACACCACTCACAAGATCAAGCTCCTTCACTGGAGGTACTCCACCACGCTCTTCCGGCTCGTCTGGAGAAGCCTCTTCGTGATAGCAACCACAGTGATAGCCATGGCGATCCCCTTCTTCAACGACGTGCTGGGTTTGCTGGGCGCGATGGGCTTCTGGCCTCTCACCGTCTACTTCCCGATCCAGATGCACATCAAGCAAGCCCAGATCAAAACGTGGTCGATGCGGTGGCTCAAGCTCCAAGCCATCAGCGCGTTTTGTCTAGTCATCTCCATCGCCGCGGGTATCGGATCCATCGAAGGGATCTACCAGGACCTCAAGGCTTATACTCCCTTCCACGCTAATTTCTAAAGAGCGCTAAGATTTCAATTTAAATTTGCTAACGTAATTTTCACTTAACCTCTGAAATGTTCTTGTCTGCTTGTTGAAAGAGTCCGCCTTCTATAATGGAGCTTGAGCAAAGAATGTCTGTGCTCATCACTGGAGCCGGTTCTGGAATTGGTATAGCTAAGTGTTGATTTTGGTCTGATCTGTTTCTCTTGTTCTTCTCTCCAGGCAGAGCCTTGGCTGTGGCTCTTGCTAAGAAAGGTACAAGCATATCTGTGCTCGATATTGTTGAGAAAAATGCCCTGGAGACGCTTGAGATGGTCAAGCAGGAGTATGAGAAGCTGCAGGTTGAAGACAAACCTTCTACGATATGTATTCGGTGTGATGTAGCAAAACCAGGTAAAGCATAGCCCCAATCCAAAGCAACTTGTCTTCCAGCTGATTTTATTTGTGATTACAACAGATGAGGTCTCGTCCGCATTTGAACAGCACATCGCCGTCTTCAAAAGTCTGGACATTTGCATCAACTGTGCTGGAGTAGCTCATACGAGTGATTTCATTGACGACGAGCAGGGGCTTTGGCGTCGACTTGTCGATGTCAACCTGAATGGCACAATAGAGTGCAGTCGACTTGAAGTAAAGAATTTTGCCTTGTTTTGCTACTTCTGTAAGCAGATCCTCTCTTGTTTGCTGCAGATTAAGGCCATGAAATCCCTTGGTAAACCAGGATGTATCATAAACTTTGCATCTGCCTTGGGACTCTATCCAGCACCATGTGCACCAATTTACGCTGCGTCCAAAGGTTTGATTCATGAATGGTGAAGAACATAGAATTTCATTTTCTGATATGATCTGTTTCCCTGTGCACAGCCGGTGTTGTCATGCTGACAAGATCACTGGTGAATCTTCGAAGCGAAGGAATCCGAGTAAATGTTGTTTGCCCTGAGGTCTGATATATATGCGTATCCTATGTCTGCAACATAGTAACAGGTGCTTCCTCGTTTTAGTTCGTAGACACACCTATGGGAAACCTTTTACCAGTTACCATGATCGATGCTGCTGATGGCTTCATTCCAATGGAGAAAGTTATCAATGGTGAGCCAGTTTTAAATATGTGATTGTCTACAAACAGAGATTTCAGGAGTGTTTGAGCTCATTGAAGACGAGAGCAAAGCTGGATGCTGCCTATGGATAACTCAAAGGCACGGTGTCAAATACTGGCCTTGCAGTGAGCAAGAGCAAACCTACTCGGATGAGACTATTTGTATTTTTGGGAGCTAGCCTCATATTTGAGAGTATGCACATATCTATAATTTATATATCAAGATTATAGAATAAACAAAAATATACTAGAAATTTTATAAATTACAAACAAAATACAAAAATAATCTAAATGAAGAACAATGGTTAAATGGTAAAATATTCTAGGATATTCAAGCATATTTTAAGTATATCCACTACCACCTTGCTTAAGCAAACCAAAAATAATTTAAATAATAATATAAACATAAAAACGTTATCTTGAATAACTTGGCTCACACAAATGCAAATGGACAACCTTATATCTGAGATATTGCAGTCATTGACATGGAATCTAGATTGTAGGCCACCAGAAAGTAAAGCCACTTCTTATAGAAACCTTTCGAAAAACCTAGAAATAAATCCTTCCTATTATATCAAATGAGGTGTCCACAAAATTCCATTATGTGCTATGCCATCGTCATGCTGGGTCCCAAGGATACCGGCATGAGCACACTGCTAGTGAAAGAATCACACAGGGCGAACGTTGAGAAGTTGCCCGACTTCAAATCAATGAGAAAGATAGGCAGAGCTTGGTCCAGATATCCCTGAGAGATGTGCTTGCTTCCGCGCTGGGGAATGGAGGCTCAGATCACAGAGGTAACAACTGGATCGGGAAGTTGTCTTCTGGAGGGAAAGCTGCTGTTGATCCGGCTAACTTCTTCTCGAGAATGCAAGACGAGGCGAACAAAGCATCCAGCTTGTCGCCGGTGCTGCGGTGTTTCAAGAATTTCGTCCTGGACACAGTTACGATTGGCAGGACAAGTATCGGAACGAGCACTAGAGTTTTTGGCGTGCCTGACGAAACAGAAGCAGGCGGCGCTTGTGGTTTTGGCATATTCGGTCGACCCACACTTTCAGGGACTCTATCAATGGTTCGGGCTTGGAAACTTCAGCAAGTCTGACGCAGAGGCGTTCTTCCGGAATTGTTGCCTGAACAACGCACAACGAGCGGCATTCAACAACAAGAGCTGGGACGAGCTGTTCAAGCACACATAGGCGGCTCTCCCTCGATGCTAATGACAGCAGCGGAGTTGGGACTGGAGATGGAATGGGGGAAAGTGGCGTCGCGAATGAGAGAGGACGCCGGGTCTGGTCTCCTCGCTCGTCTTGCTCGAAGCAGCCCCGACTACACTCGTGGTGATGCTGCCATGGTTTTGGACGAGCTTGTAGCCAGGGATGACTTGATAGACAAGCTTGGCTCAAGCTGAATCTCAGGCCAAGATTAATCCTTTATTCGCCGTGGCATCTACTGTGTCCATGATTCTAACAAGTAGACATTGCCATGCCGCTAGATTGTGCCTGTGGATGAAGCCCATCGTCTGTTTGAAGCCAGTTGAACGTTCAACATTCTCTTTAGCTGTAAATATTTAATTTCTTGGTCATACAGTCAACTGTCAACGTTCAACTGTGAGCATTTTAAACTATAAAGAAAGCCCCGAGAGCCGGCATTTAGGGTTCTTCTTGCGCGATGCCGAGGGTCCGGACGAGCAAGGTCGAGTACCCGGAGGGATGGGCCATGATCGAGGAGACGCTCAACTCCTTCGACGGCAAGATGCGCGAAGGTAAGCAAGCTAAGCGCCGCTAAGATTTCGGCTCCCCGCGAGGATGATGAAAATATTATCCCTTGTTGTGCTCTCTCTTGCGCAGCTGTGAATGAATCCGACGACGGCAAGAGGATTTGCGAGGCGTCGTGGCCGATTTTCAAGATCGCGCACCAGAAGAGCCGCTACATATACGATCTCTACTACAAGAAGAAGGAGATTTCGAAGGAGCTCTACGACTTCTGCGTCGATCAGAACTACGTGGACAAGAACCTCATTGCCAAGTGGAAGAAGCCCGGCTACGAGCGGCTGTGCTGCCTGAGATGCATCCAGCCCAGGGATCACAACTTCGGGACGAACTGCCTGTGCCGGGTGCCTCGCGAGAGCAGGGAAGTGAAAGTCCTGGAATGCATCCAGTGTGGCTGCAAGGGTTGCGCCAGTGGTGACTAGAAGGCACGGCAAGCAAGCGATCTAGAAAGCACGCGAGGAGAATGATCTCTACTATCACTGTAAATCGCTACTGGCTGCCTCCTTCGCTTTTAAATAAGAGCGAGCTTAACTTTGTGTTCTTCCTCGTTTGCTTCCTTCTCCTTTTTCTTCTCTCTTTGTGCTCACGGCTTACAGGTCTTTGAAGCTCCCCTCCAAGCAAGCTTGGTGAGTTCCTGTGCTTTGGACTTGGTTATCTTCTCACTTTTTTCACTGCTTTTGTAGGGTTCTTGAGAGGATGAGTTCTTCCAGAGCTGGACTTTTGCTACTGTGTGTCTGGTTCGTGGTCGTAGCATGCGTTTCCAGGAATGAAGCGTTCGTGGGCTACTCAGAGGTTTCTTTAGCTACTGCTAGTACTGGTGCCAGCAACCAGAATTTTCGAGAAAACGGTTTGTCCAGCGATGGGTTGTCAAGATCTGGCCTGACCCTCTTGATTGTTGTTACAGTTTCTCTCTTTGAGCGGCCAGACTGCTTGCTTTTCTCCACCGAATTTGGGGTCTGTAAGATTTTGCGCTCTCTTAAAAATTAAACTGGTTTAAGAAACAGGAGATCGAGGTCGAGCTTGCAACCACAGCTGCTCCTGAGACAGTATCTTTCATCAAGGCAAGTAGAGGAGATTATATCCCGAGTACACTTCTAAGTTTTGGAGTTTTGCCGCAGGATCTGGTTGCCAAAGGCACATACAATGGTTGTAGTTTTTATCGAGCTGAACCACCTGGTGATACATATGATCAAGGTAGCACAGTTCCTCGGAAAGGGTACTGTTTTGTAGTTCACTGCTTTGGTCTGTTGATGCGAAACCGAAAACATGTAACAGGTATGCGCTTGTACAAGGTGGTTTATTCTCGTGCGGAAAGCAGCAGGACGTCGACCTGCCTGTTGAGTCCAGATGGAAGCACACCAAAGGAACAGTGTCGTTGATCACGGTAGGCTTTCTTTTTACTTCCGTCTCCTTACTAACCAGCTTCGATTTTCAGCGCACAAGCGAGTTTTTCTTCAGTCTCGAAGACCATCCGGAGTGGGATGGCAGCTTTTCCGTATGGGGAAAGGTAATTCTCGACTTCGAATGGCGACTATTGTGATGCCTGCCGTATCTCGCAGGTCGCTAGTGCCTCGGGCTTCTCCGCGTTGGAGCGAATCGCTGCCCTTCCAACGCATCAAGAAGTCCACCCGAGCGGAACTGTTATGAGAATACTCTCTAAAGAAGTGACATTTTCCCTGGCTCTCAAACCGAGCCGAGACAACTAGACAAGACGATCTCATACCGAGACAAGACGATCTGAAATCGAGGAACTAGACAAGATTGGCAACAGAGACTCAAAGCTTTAACTTGGAAACGAATCGCACCAGCAGCGGCAAAAACTTATTGAGACGCGGAGTCGTCGGCTCCACTTATTATTGGAGATCTTCAACCGTGACGATCACGGAGCAGCAGCGGCAGCAGCGACAACCTCCTGCCATGCCGGTCGCGACGAGATCTTCTCCCACCACGCGCTGACGTTCTTCTTGGAGGTGACGACGTCACCCTTCTTGGCCACGTTGATGAGATAGTGGAGATACGGGACGTGCGAGAGGTCGGCCAGTGAGAAGAAGCTGCCGGCAAGGTAGTCCTGGGAGGCGAGGTGGCTCTCGTAGATGGCCAGCACCGAGTCGAGCTTCTTGAGGTTGCTCTCCACCACCTCCTGGTCCGGGGTGAGGCCGCGGAACTTGGAGAAGACCAGCTGGAAGACGATGGTGGAGATTGGGGGGTTGAAGTTCTGGGACTCCACTTCCAGCCACTGCTCGACCAGTGCTCGGTCCTCGGGGGTTTTGCCGTAGAGCGGCTCTCCTTTGGGAGACAAGTCACAGATGTAACGGGAGATCGCTCGGGATTCTGCATTTTGGGGGAAGAACTTTCGCCGTCAGGGATTGAAATGTCTTCCGAGTTACTCACCGAAGAGGGTCAGGCCTTTGTTCTCGAGCACAGGGATCTGTCCGAAGGGCTACGCACAGGGAATGTGAGGAAAGGATTAGTTTTCCGAGATTTTGGGAAAGATGTGTACCTGTTTGGCGAGGAACTGAGGGTCCTTGTGCTCTCCGGCGGCCATATTGACGGGAACCAGCTCGTAATCGAGGCTCTTCTCCTTGAGGGTGTAGAGGACCCGGCCAGTGCAAGTTGACATGGGGATGCCATAGATCTTGATCGCCATTGCTTGGAGATCTGGTGCAAGAGCGAGGGGATCACAAGTTCGTCCAGCACAAAAGTGGAAGCTTGCGGCGGTGACAAGAACGACATACCTTCTCTTCCACACCTCGCTAGATATTCTTCTAGGGAGGCCCTCTCGTTTATAGCAACTTTGGAGGACCCACGCAGCCTGGGTGTGCATTAATGCAAGTTAATGAATTTCGAAGAGGATCTAATCCGAGCATATTCTATGCCCAATTAAGAATAGCTAGGATATACTTACCATATATTTGGATAGAATATATTCTAATAAAAAAACAGAGAGTGAGAGAAAGAGTTTATAATTTATAAATGGAAATGCTCAATGATGACATTGCACAGTAGTTATAATTGTAATTATCAAATTTTTTTTTATCATTTTCAATAATCTGAACCAGGAAAGACTTGGTCTTTGTAAGTGTTTATATTGCAATAACAATTGGGATTGGGATTGTAACTTTCAGAACAGTCTGGAAGCTCATTCAAGTGGAGGAGGATATACCAACCCTCATGGAAATAACACAACATTTACTTATAGACATTGTGGTAAATCATATAGTGTTAAATTACATGTCTATAAAATTTTAAAGTTTTATATATATATATATATATATATATAAAAGAGATCTTTGGAGAAATTATTGTATTGATAAATATTTAGATATGATATCTACATTTAAATACATGAGCATTCCCAACATATAGTTGCCATTTCTACGGTGAAATAATATATTTATAGATCGAAATAAGCAGCTGAAATAGATCAATGCAATCTAATCCATGAATCTTTCAATACCACGCCTGTAAATCTCATGCCAATTTTTCCTGGCAGCCTCTGAATCCCCAGATGCACCACAGGCCGCAAGACCAACAGCACAACAGCGAGCATTCGCGAATGAGAAACAAGGCGACCTTTGCATGACTTTGAAGGCTTGCAAGGCAGGCCCTCCTTGCCCGTTTCCAACATACGCAAGTATCAAAGCTGTCCACGAGAAAACGTCTTGGAACTTCCTCTGGTTGAAAATGGTTACAGCATCCACCAAGCTCCCGCAGCCGGCATATACTTCGATCAGGCAGCTCGTCAGGTATGTGCTCGAGTCAACTCCATACCTTGCAGCCGCTGAATGAATCGCCATGCATGTCTCTAGAGCTCCAACCTTGACACTCTTGCCATCCAGGGCCCTGGCCTCTTCTTCCTCTGCTAGAGCTTTGCAAGCTCTCGACGCGGCCACAAATGCCCGAGCATCTACAGCTTTCCTTTCCTGTTCGAACAGCTCCAAGGCGGTTCTTGCCTCGCCACTCCCGGTGTAGCCCAGCATCAGGGACGTGAGAGGAACAGGGTGACTCCGCGTCTGGCCGAAGACATGGCGAGCATCAGCAAGGCTCCCACACCTTCCATACAGATCCACCAAGCTGCTCAGCAGAAACTCATCACAGGCTTTGGCTTGCTTCAGAGATTGAGAATGCAAAGCCATGCCTCTCTCGAGAGCAACGAGTTTCACACGCCGGCCTTGGATTTCCGTCCACGTTTCCCTGGCTGCAAGCTTGCCGCATGCCTTGAGCGCGGCCGCGAAAGTTAGAGAATTCGGCTTGCATCCCTCGAGATGCATCTGTGCCAGTGCCTCCAATGCCATCTCCTCGCCACCACAGTCGGCATAGCCAAGCACCATTGAAGTCCAGGAAATCACGTCGCGACTGATCATGCCATCAAAAACTCCAGCCGAGCCTACCAGGCTGCCAGACTTGGCATACATGTCGACCAAGGAGTTGGCAACAAAGATATCAGTGTCCAACCCAGCACTCCGAGCGTATGAGTGAACCGCCATGCCCGTCTCTAGCGAGTGGAGCTTAACAAGCCCCAAATCTCCATCCTCGTACACTCTCTTGGCAAGCTCCTTCTCCGCTAGGCCCGAGCAAGCCTTGAGCACCGCAACCAAAGTCCGACTTGTCGGTTCACAGCGTCTCTCTTTGACCATGTTTGAGAAGAGATCCAGTGCTTTTCCTTCCTGGTGGCTGTTCACGTAGCCAAAGATCATTGCGTTCCATGCCACAACGTTGTAACGAGCGAACCTCCTGTCGAAAACCATTCGAGCGTCAATGAGGCTCCCACATTTGGCATACATGTCAATTAATGTGCTCACCACAAACGGATTCGTATCGCATCCAGCTATGGACACTTGGTGATGGATCTTCTTCCCGGCTTCTAGAGCGCCATAGCCATGACCCGCTGCCAAGCCAGTGCAAGCCCGAAAAGCAGCAACAAAAGTCCGGGAATCTGGAGCAACTCCTTCGGCCTGCATAGCAGCAAACAATCTCAATGCCAGCATTTGCTGGCCACTCGCGACATATCTCAAAATCAGCCCAGTCCAGGAGACGACACTCGTGACTTTGTCAAGTGCGTTGATAGCATCCACCATTTTGTCCAAGTGGCCACAAAAGCGTTCGCCCTCATGCCATATCCTTGGAAGATCCCTTTTGTGAATTGTACAAGTATCCGAGCATATCTCTTAAATCTGGCAGTTTTTATTGAGACTACAGTGTTTGACGTCAGCTACCTCTCTCCTCCTGGTTCTATGGTTCTAGTAGAGTGACTGAAATGTCGCCAAATGCAGGATAAGAGCCCCTTATATGTTAGCAGTGATTGACGCCTTTGACCATCTTGTTCTTGCGTCGATCAATCACCGCTAGTATTACCATTTCTACTGTGAGCACCACTATCAAAACAGCATCCGCCAGGGCTACCACCATGTTTCCCTGCTTCCAATCTGAATAAAAACCATACGCTGGGACTACAAAGCTCAGCGTGGTAGAGATGAAGAGGGCTCCAACCATCGGGATGAAACTTACTACTGAGGGCTTTGTCCAACCTTCTTCAACCTCCTCCTCCTGGCTAGGCACTGGGACTTCTTCCACAAGCCTGCAAACTGATGCCACCGCCGCACAAGCATGCCCCATCGCTGACAAAACTTGCAACACGATGAACCACGAAGATGTGGGTGCGAGAGGACTCAGTGCCGCACTGATTGCTCCGACAGCAACGCTGATCAGCATGCACCACCTATAGTGGAAATAGGCAAGAACTCCAACGGCACCTGAGCGAAAACTCCTGTTGAGCAAAAGAAAGCAAGAAAAGTAAACCGCTTACCTCCTGTAAGAGAGCCGAGCACAAGCAGGATGTACAGGGCATCAGTGAAGCAAGCGAGTCGCCAGTATCTAATCGCAGAGTACTGCTCACCAATCTCGAAGTTGTCCATGTAGTGGTAGCTCCAGCGATACCCATGGTTGGAATGACAGCTCGGGCGAGGACAATCAGCGCAAATCAATGTTGGAGGAGATAGCGTGAAATAGGCGGTGTAGAAATACAACTGGCTGGACAAAGTAACCAAGCATGAAACAACACTAAAGAACCACCACAGTGGCCTCATGGTCGTAACCCTTCCACCCATCCTTCCAGAGAAGAAACCCTAAAACCTCCCTAAAAAACCCTTTTCTTTTGCCCCTTGTTTATAGAACAAGTGTCTACGTGGCAGACAGTTGTGCCCTTATTAGGGCGAGACACGTAAGCGCACGCCCTATCCCACATGCGAAGGCGCAGAGTCATGCCCGGGCTAAAGTATATAAAGAGGGGTGGGGGTAATTAAAACTCATACCTTTCTCGGCCTTTTGGCTAAGATCAAGTGTAGTATCTGTTCTTATCAGTTTAATAGCTGATATGGGCCACGTGCCCCAACGCTATTAACCTAATTTTTTGGGTAGCTTGCTACCCGGTCCTCCACGTGTCGCTTCGGCCTTACACTACCGCCTTAGCCTGGCACAGCCCAACCCCCAAATTTAAACCCAAAAAGAAAAACATCTAATTAAACAGTGCAGAGTTTCTGGAATCAAACAATTATTAAAAGTCTTAGCTGAAAAATAGTTTGGAAAGTGTTATGGAATTCTGTCCTTTCTATTTTGTGATAACCGGGTAGCCATCCTCTTAATGGCTTCTTGGTTGGTTTCAGTCCTATTGACAACAACTTCATAGGCACCAGTTTCCAAATTCACCATTTGCACTCGCTGTTTCAACAAACCTTTCCCAACCGTGACCAGTTTCTTCAAATTCTCCAAGCTCGAGTTGTCAACTTCGGCAATGCTGCCCTCGAGCTCAGAAGTCTGTCAAAAAGAGAAACACCAGATTCACGACCTTTTCAAACTCGAGCTTTCTTTTACCTGAATCCGAAGGAAGTTCTGCTCGCATACACCAAGCCGGAAGAGCGACGAGATGGTGTAGTCGACCATGTCGGAGCTTGCGTTAGAGAAAATGCTGATGATTGGAGCCCCGTTCTGATGAACCACCCAGCCAAGAGGCCCCCATGTTGCTATCTCCTTGGCCGTGTAGCTCACGGTTTGATTGCCACAACCAAGAGAGATCACCAGCAAGTCCTCGAATTTCTGATAAGAGTTTACAATGAACAACGAGAAGCTCCTTTAGTTTAATCTATTTACCTCGAGCAGTTTAGTGCCTACTAATCCTGGATCCTGAGCTTGCGAGTCCTTGAGAGCTTGAACAATGGCTAAAAAGGTCTGCACATAGATAGAAAATAGTTGAGCAAACGGACTAGAGCTTTAAAAACTATGAGAAATTACTGGATTGTTTGCGGCGAGGCCGCCATCAACCAGGTTGAATTCCTCTCCTGTAGGCATCTTGAAATATTTTGGAGGCAAATAAGTTGGAGCCGCGCTGGTGCCCCGGACAACATCTCGTAGAAACGCATTCTTGGGTTCGTTTGTTTTGGCCTGAAAGTCTTGACCGCTTTTATCAGAAGACAAAATCAAAACAAATTGCACGGACACAAACCTCTGACGTTGCGAAGATCACAGGCTGCTGGAGTTTAGTGTCGAAGGTTGGAATAACGAGAGGAGCGAGTGTGTCTCCCATCTTTAAGTCGCCAATATACTCGCGGAGGAGACTCTCCAGAGGCTTCTCGGAGTACTTTGGCCCGAAGAATCCAGCAGCGCTTTTGAGACTGTCAAAGTGAGAGTCAGCTCGAAAGATTTTCTATCAAAATAACGAGGAGAACGTACAAGTACTGCGGGAATATCTTCTGCGCATTCGCAAAGTAAAACCCAGTGACCTCTTTCGCCGTGAACCTTGGCCGATTGTCTTTGCCGGGAGTCCCCAGCATTGCAGCGATGATCCCTCCAGTGCTGGCTCCAGCGATGGTGTCAAAGTAATCCGCGAGCCTGGCGCTAGGGCCATCTAGCTCCTGTTTCGGAAAAAAAGAAAAAACACAGAGAGACATGAAAGTTGATGCTTTGACTCTGCTTTGAAAATTTTCCAAGAGAAACCTGTAAGCACTCCTCGAGGTACTCTAAAATCGTTGCGGGAATAACACCCCTCACTCCACCGCCATCGATGCTCAAGACACACTTCCTCCTCCTGCTTGTTTCCATGAAACTCCTGTGCGATGGAAGATTCTCCCGAGAGTAAACGGGCCAAGGAATGGATCATACTTATATTATTTAGGATCCGTGACGCATTTGTTATGTACTCTTTATAAATGCGAGTCGTGCTTTTGAAAAGGGACACTGCAACGTTTGCCTCGTCAATACACTAAGGATAAGCGTGTTATGGTATACTGGTCTCAAGGCTGTCTGTTCGTAAACCTCAAAATGCATACGCAATTGGATGCCTTGCGTAATTCTGTACGTCCTTTGATCTATATAAATAACTAATTTATTCTAGAATTGAGTGGAGCAGAGATTAGGAAGGAATTTTTCCGATCGTAACAGTTGTAAGACACGGCTGCACGTCCCACGTTCGAACGGGTAAGCTCAACTGTGCCCTAAATTATCAACCCTGCCCGCGCTAAATTTTACGCATTGCGTTTCATGCGCTCTTCAGACAGCCGGGTTGCAAGCCTGGTTTTTGTTGATCATGTAGCTTTCAGCCTAAAAATGTAAATTTGCAAACCTGCGAATGGCCTCCCCGTTGGTCTCCATGCCCGGCCGAAGGTCGTAAGAGCCATTGTGCAAGTTGACCCGTTTGACCGGCTCCTTGATCAGCTGTCTCCCAATGTTAACCAGCTCCGCAAGGTTGGCTGGCTTTGAATTGTCAACTTGCCCAGTCGCGTTCTCCAAAGTGGACGTCTGACCACGAAATAAACTAAGCATTTCCCAATTCATGCATACGATCTCTCTTACTTGGATTCTTAAGAAGTTTTCCTCGCACAATCCGACCTGAAAGAGCGCCGAGATTGCATAGTCCACCATGTCCGAGCTCGCGTTGAGGAGCATATTCGTTATTGGCGGTCCATTGCGGTGCGTCACCCAGCTCAAAGCACCCCATCCCGCGGCTTCCTTGGCGCTGTAACTCACAGTTTGGTTGCCACAGCCAAGCGATAATACCAGCAAATCCTCAAATCTCTGGAAACCATATACCTTTGCAGGCTGATTTATATCGAACACTACGATCGATTACCTGGAATATTGTTCGCGGGGTCATGCTTCCCTCACCCTGAGATTCTTTGAAAGTTTCCACCATAGCGAGGAAGGCCTGGAACATTGAGAATTAGAAAGAATTAGTGATACAGGTTAAGGTGGTGATGTAACTGGATTATTTGCGGCGAGGCCTCCATCCACGAGATTGAAGCGTGTTCCTTCGGTCGTCTCGAATTCCACGGGCGAAAAATACGTTGGAGCGGCGGATGTTCCTCGGGCAACGTCTCTCAGAAACGCATTCTTGGAAGCATCAGCAAAAGCCTGGTTTTCTTTGTTAGAAAACCATTGCATATGAAAATTATCTAGATTCTTTTTCTACCTCTGCAGTGGTAAATATGACTGGCTGCTGTAGTTTGATATCAAAGGTTGGAATCAAAACTGGTACCAATGTATCGCGCATCCTCAAATCTTCAACATAAGATTTCAGTATTCTCTCTATAGGATGGGCTGCATACTTGGGACCAAAGAGACCATTTGCAGCGGTAAATCTGGCAAAGCATACGAAAAAATTCACGAGGAACTAAGAAGTAAAAAGACAGGATTTTTACATGCTCTGAGGAAAGATGGTACTCGAGTTCTTGAGGTAAAAATCAGTTATCTGTTTGGCTGTGAACAGGGGTCTTCCTTGGCTGTCGGGAACTGCGAGCATCAAACACATTATCCCTCCAGTGCTTGTCCCAGAGATCATATCGAAATAATCTGCTATTCTCGCATGCTCTCCATCCAAATCCTGATATGATCAATCCTAACGATTGAAACAAATATTTATCCAAATTTTACTTGTAGGCATTGCTCGAGGTGTTCCAGGATCTGGCTTGCGATCAATCCTCTCACCCCTCCTCCATCGATGCTCAAAACTCTCTTCTTGGAGCTCCCTCGATTATCACCCATTGATCGCTACTAATGAGCTTATACTCTTCCAAGATTATATCCAAAACCACCAAGGCTGTTATAAAGAGAGTTTCTTGCCAAAAAATCTATTCAATTACATTAAGTGTGTTTAATATTAAGATAAGCCAAATGCTTTGGAACTTTATGTCCTTAAAAGTTATTTTGCCCTATTCTCTGTTCTAAGCAGAGCTATGGGAAATCGCAGCCTTCGTCGGCGGCACGAGGATTCTCTAGCCCCCCTCGCCCCACTCAAGAGCGATTCGGACAAGAGGTTAGTCTCACGGATGATTAGGCGGCGCCGCGGCCCCCGCCTCCTCGTCACCGCATTGGCGCTCTTATTCGCCATCGCCGGGACCGCAATCGCGGCGTCTCTGTGCGCCAGATTTCTCCTCTTGAATGCCAACAGGCTTGGAAGGCAATGCAGCAGTGGGATTGGCCCGCGACAGGGATTGAGTTTTGGGATTGTGAGCTGCTCCGACGATCTGAGCACCGTGCCGCACAGATCGTTCCACGGGATGATGCAGCTCGTGTCTCCCAACAAGCAGAGATACGCCGCGATGCATGGCTATGGCTTCATTGACGCCAGTGACGTTCTTGACGCTGAGAGGCCCCCGAGCTGGAGCAAGATCAAGGCAGTTCGCAAGCATCTGGGGAGCTACGACTGGATCTTCTGGAACGATGCTGTAAGCTCCATTGATTTTTTCTTCTTTGGCCTCTCATAGTTTCCTTCCAGGACTCTCTCGTGACGAACTTTGCAGTGACGCTGGTAAGTCCCGTTTGAGATCTCAAAGGCACTAATCTCGCAGACTAGGAAGAGGTGGTGAGTTCCACGCTTGGAGATGTCAAGTATGAGGACAGGCCAGATCTTATCATCACGCAGGACGTGACGGGATTCAATGCAGGCGAGTTTTCTTTACATTTGTAGTTTCCTTTCGCTTACACTCTTTGCAGGGATGTTCTTCATCCGTGACAGTGCGTGGAGCAGGGACTTTCTCAACCGGTGGTGGAACCAGACATCGCATATCAAACCGTTTGGCGAGTCCAAGAGCGGAGACAATGATGCGCTCAAGTTTCTGATTCAGTCTATGCCCGCGGAGGAAAGGCAAAAGCACATCCACGTTCCTCGAATGCAGTGTTTATTCAACTCTTACCTCTGGATGCCTACCTGGAGAAATGTGTATCGACTTCTGGTAATGACGAGAATGGTGTGGAAAGGTAAGAGCCGGTTTTGGAGTTCTTTGAGTCGTCTGATATATTTCCTTCATCGTGACGTGAAGGTACTTATTCCACTGGAGACTTTATGGTGCACCTTGCAGGAGTGGACAACAAGAAGAGGTGGATTCATGAATTTCTTAAGAGGGCAGAGACATCTCACAAGGAGCTGCTGAACTTATGGACCATGACATGGTTATAGACATCTTTGAGTCGTCTGATATATTTCCTTCATCGTGACGTGAAGGTACTTATTCCAGGAGACTTTATGGTGCGGAGTGGACAACAAGAAGAGGTGGATTCATGAATTTCTTAAGAGGGCAGAGACATCTCACAAGGAGCTGCTGAACTTATGGACCATGACATGGTTATAGACATCTCCCGAGTTGAGGATCACGCTCGGAAAGTTTGGCTGGTTGACAGCGTTAGGGAAGCCTTGAGTCTCCAGACACAAGCCGGCATACTTGGAATAGACAGCCCCGCCTTTGCCTTCGATCCTCACTATCTGGTTACCAGAGTAGAACTGGACTCCTGGCTGGTTCGTCCAGATTTCCATCTTTCTCGTGCTGACGGGATCTTCCAGGGTCACGGCGTGGTAAAGCCCTTCGTCGTCTCGAACGGTTTTATCCAAGGCGAAGTTATGGTCGTATCCTCCAGGGACGGACTCAATGCGGCTGCCGATGCTCATCGGCTCGAGGAAGTCGAACGGCGTTTTCGCCACTGGAGCAATCTCTCCGGTGGGAATAAGCAGAGCATCCACAGGGGTGTAGTGAGAAGCCAAGATCTTTACTGTGTGGTTGAGGATGCTCCCGCTGTTGTGACCGGCGAGGTTCCAGTAGCTGTGATGAGCCAAGTTCACTGGTGTCATCTTGTTCCGGGTCGAGGCGATTAGCTCCACTCTCAGCTCGTTTTCGCCAGACAAGGTATAAGTTACAGTCACGTCTATGTCGCCAGGAAATCCTGCAAGGCATTTTTTTTTTTTGTTTTGTTTCAAGGTTCTTACTCGTCTCTGCAGGTCTTTACCTTGCTCGGTGTTGTAGCTGTACAGGAGAAACTCGACAGACGGTGAAGAAGGATCCTTTGATGCTACTCGAGACCGCCAGAGTATGTTGTTATAGCCGATAAATCCTCCTGTGATTTGCTCTCTCTCTCTCTCGTTAGCTCTTTACTTTTGCGAGATTTGAAGACAAACCGTGTAAGGTGTTGTTATGATCGTTGCCTGTCAAGAAGTACGTGGTGCCATTGAGAGTGAACCTGGCGTCTTTGATCCGGTTAGCAACCCGGCCGACAATGGCACCAAAGTAAGGTGACGTTCCATCCTGGTGAGCGTTCTGATAATGACCTTGCAAGTTTTTCCAGGACTTACCATGTAAGGTTCTAGCGAGTCAAGCCCCAGGACGATGTCCACATCCTTTCCTGTAAGTCAGGACAAAACACTTGAGTCCAAAGACGACCAGACTGTCGCGACAGAGATTGGCACTCTGGACAAGGAAAAGCTTGGAAAAACTATAGAAAATAAATAGAGAAAGCAGGACTGATTGGATCAATCAATCATTCACTCCTTGACGCTTGCCTGTTCTTGGATCGAGCATTGTGAGAGAGGTGATCGTAGCTCCCCAGTCAGTGATGCGAAGCGTGGTGGTTCCAGCGGTCAGAGTGTAGAGGAGCGCTCCGCCTCGTCCCCACGCTTCCACGGTCACTGCCTCGTTCTCCGCCCCTGGATTCGTCGCCAATGCCGTGAGCGCTGCCACAGCCGGCAACAGCAACATCGCAAACTTAGCCATTTCGCTCTCGTCCAAACGCGAGTCCCAAAATATTTCAAAGAAGGGCGAATATTCGGAACTTATCCTTAGCCATGTTTGATCTTTCAAACCAACGTTAGTTCATTCACTAAATTCAGCGTAGATTCTTCGTACCATTCGCATCTAATCTGGCACAATCAAGAGTGGATATTTCTATGGAATGAATTATATGACATTGTTTAAGCCATTGTCAGAAGAGAGAGGAGAAATCTTTCGTAGAGCTTGGAGGATCATTTGTTGCAGTCTCTACTTGATAAAGAGATAAATGCAAAATGAAGCAATACATGCTAAAAATCTTGTTAACATAAAAATAACAAAAACTGTACGTGTTATATTTAAAGTTTGACTAGACAAAACTTCATCCTCACTTTTATTATTTCATATTAATTATATTAAAAATAATATGTATAAAATTCAATCATTTAATCTTTTGATTCTACAACTCTATTTTAGTTATAAATTTAACCTATTTACTAAATTTTTTAAAATTATGGTGTTTTAATTTCTAGTCACAAATATCAACTGAAAATAATCACTAGTTTACAGACAAAATTTTAAGATGTATAAGCCATTTTTAACAGCTTAAAATGAAGTTTATCATGAAGAATTGTAAATAAATTATAAGAATATTAGCAAAATAAAAATACCTAATTTGTGTTTTCATTTTTTTCCTATAAAATATATATAATATGAGGTATAAGATATATGCCTCCCACATTATATATTTTAACTCCACTATAATAAAAAAAGAAAAGGTTTAGGATGAATTTACTTAGAATTAGTTTTATTCTTTAATTAGCACTGGGCTTTTTAAATCAGAATATGCTTGTAAAGTTTAATAATACAATTTATATTTATTTTTGTAAATAAATTAATTTAAATTTCTTAACTGATTTTAGTAAAAAATAGGTATCATATCTCCATAAAACATTTTTTCTGTTATTCATTTTACATCAAGTTATAAGAGAAAATTCAAAATTTATAATATTTTAAAAATTATTCTCTAGCTTTGGATATAAAAATATATTAATTGGTATATTTGTAATTGTATATTTTTTATATCCATAAAAATTTCAAAAATATAAAATATGTATGAGAGTGAATAATGAAGTTGAAATTCTTCAGTAAATTTTATAAGGTATATATGTCAAATTTTATACATACAATAAATCAATTTTTAAAACCATTAGCATTTTATATATGAAATATGTGAGAACAAAACTATTTATTAAAATTTTACACAAATAGATTAAAATTAAAATGATTGAACCTACTTAAGTAGTGATAAATGTTAATAAATCTCTAAGCAATTGTGTCTTTGTTGATGTGTTAATAGACTTATTGATTTTAATATCTTTATCAGTGCCGAATTCACTTTGTTAACAAAATTATTTATATCACCTATATATATATATATATAGACACACACATATTTATGTATGTGTGTGTGTGTTGTATATTTTAAATAATGTATATTTATTTTTTTCCCTTTTATAAATCTTGAAGGGTTTCTTAAAAGTTTTACTTTTCTGTATCATTTATATATCTAATTTTTTATAATGACAACATTACTTATAGCAAAATTAAAATAAAATAGGTAAACAGTTTTTGTTAAATGTTTTTTGGTACTTAGAATTTTAATGATTATTCCCATTTTTCCTATATCAAGTTGGTGGGTGAATGGATATTAATGTGTACCTTGGAAAGAAATATCTCTATGTTGTCTCTGAACACAAGAAGGAAAAGTAATTAATTTAAAAGTAAACTATAGTTTAAATATTTACATGCTCAAAGATTTCATGAGGAAAAAAATTACAAAGAGAGCTCTAATGATGAAATACATAGCCATACCAAAAAAAATTAATAAAAATACATTTATTTAGTAGACATAGTGAAAGACAAGAAATAAGGTTTAACTTACAAATTAAATATCTGCTTATGAATAAAAACTAAGTTGTTCATATTCATTTAGTTTAATCTCACTTAGCAGCTAGTGAGCTATATTTTCCTCAGAGGTACCATGCTGTAAGTGGCATCCATTGCTAAGCATGGAGTGAATGAAGACACTCAATACTCCATGCAAGTATGACTCACTATTTTCCTTTAGCATTTCTATCTTGGCAATTGCTTCATCAAAGTTTGGAGCCCTCCCATTCCACCAAATTGCTTGACAATGTTTGCTGGCAGCATCTTACTCAAGTCTTGCATACTCTTTCCTTTGCCGAGGTCCCCTTTCTTGTTGAGCTTCAGGCCTTTCATCTGTTTGGACATTGTTTTTACATGATTCATCATCTGCTGGACGTTGTCAACACTGGTTCCCGAGCCCTTAGCGAGTCGGAGTATACGAGATTCCGACAAACTGGAGCTGTTGCGTTCTGCAATTCAATGGTTAGCTTTGCATTCGAATCAAAGGCAGAGTTTGAGACTCACCTTCATTTGTCATAGAGTCAAGAATTACTCTGTATTTCCTAAACTGTTGAATGTCAAAACTCTGCACATTTACGTTGTTGAATCCTGGAATCATGGACATGAGCTGCTCACACAATCAGAAAAATCAGTGGATACTTTCAAGATTAGTAAGATCTCAGCCATTATCATACCTGACTTAGAGATCCCATGCTAGTAATGTTCTCAATTTGATCGCACAAGAATTTAAAACTGATGTTTCCATCCGCCAGTTTTTGCACCAACTCTGGCTGCAATTCACTTGGAACAACCTCTTTGATTTTGTTAGCAAAACCAGCTAGATCTCCCATGCCTGGAAAAACACGTTGAGTCGAATCAGAATTCTATTCCAAGTTCCAGATGGAAAAAGAGAGATAAACTTACCGAGTAATCTGCTGACAAAAGCTTTGGACTCGAAAGTTTCAAAATCGTCTGCCTTTTCTCCAGTTCCCAAGAAAATTATAGGGCTTTTTGTTGCAGCTACCCTGGCAATTGTCAAGATTTTAGTATATCACATCATGTCTACGAAATCGAACTAAAGGAACACTTACGCACTAAGAGCGCCGCCACCTTTTGCATGGCCATCTATCTTGGTGATTATAACAGCACCGACCTTAGCGCTCTCTCTAAAGGCCAGTGCTTGATCATTCGCAGCTTGCCCAATGCTGCTATCCATAACGAAAATGATCAAATCGGGGTTCTGTAAAGTTCGAGAGCAAATGCTAAGTATCCTCATTAATTTAAGCCGTTAATAAAACGAAGAAAACTTACTGTAGCAGCGGCAAGCTGGCGCATCTCCTCAAACAGCGCATTCTCTTGTTTGTGTCTTCCACTTGTGTCAAGAATGATCAAATCGTGCTTCGTGTCGGCAAACTTCCTGACGCCCTCTTGGGCAATCACCACCGGGTCTGTCTCCGTATAGCTTCCGTAGAAGGGGATCTTCACCTTCGTGGCGTTCTGCTTTAGCTGATCGAATGCTCCAGCCCGGAAGGTGTCCGCACAGACCAGAGCCGGATTAAAGCCCTTCTTCCTGTAGTGAAGAGCATACTTAGTGCACGTCGTGGTCTTCCCACACCCTTGCAATCCCACGAGCATGACGGCGTTAGTTCTTCCTTTTGTGGGAGTAAACGATGGCTTTCCAGCGTCAAGCATGGCATGGAGTTCATGGAAAACAGCCTAGAGGTAAAGATTAGATCATGAACCATTGAATCGAAGGAATGGTTACCTTTTGGATGATATGTCTCTTGTCATGCCCGGCCGCGAGCTTCTCCACCGATTTCCTTACGTTTGAGGAGAGCGCTTGGACGAGCTTGAACTGGACGTCGGCTTGGAGCAGTGCGTGGGTGATCTCGTTCACGCAAATCGTGAGTGCCTTGTCGTCGATTACGGTTGCAGTGTTGAGCCTCTGGATCGCGCCAGAGATGCGGCTGCCGAGTTCTCCTAGCACCATTGTCGAGTAAACCCTAAAAAAGCCCAGTCAAATACTGAACCAAAAGGGCGAAAAACCCTAAAAGGGCACGAAGATCTATAGTGATCCTGTTCTCATCCACTCTCGATCGAGGTAAGAATCCGATCCCAAGCGCCCTGGCGCTGGAGTATTTCTAGCATTGGGATGATAGCATTCTTCCCTCCGATTGAAATGCACGGCCCTCCAGTGGAATGTGAAAGAAAGAAAGCATTTGGTCGCTCTTGCCAGTTCTCTTTTTTGAAAAACGCTGGAAGCATCCTATTCTATTCTTATTGTTTGGCCTTTCATGTGATCATTGGTTCTTGTACAGCTTGGAACCAAAAAAAATGGAAGATGAAAGCTCTGCTAGCATGACTGGACTCCATCGTCAACAGTAGCAGGAGCAACTTTTCTCATCAACCTGGGCCTCACCTCCGCACGGTAGAACTTGGCGGACCTCAAGCTGAGAACCACGGCGATGGCGCACCCAAACAAACAGGTAGCAGCCATGACGAAGAAGGTTTCGCTGTAGCACTTGGCACCGTGGCACAAGAGCCCGGCCTCCAGCGTGTCGGGGCCCCGGTATCTCCTGGCTTGCCGATCGTAAAACACACCCGCAACTTCCACCGATAGGACGAACGTCCCAATCCCCTTTGCGATGTTTGGGAAGCTCTGGAGAACTCCATAGTGCTTGAGCCCGAAGATCTCCGCGATGATGGTCGACAGCACCGCCCACTGGCCTCCGGTGGCGAGGCCGATGATGATGGAGCCGATGTACAGCGCGCCGGGAAGGCCCAAGGCGATGAGCAAGTTGCCGAGCGCTAGAAAGCCGACCACCGCAGCGAACACGAACGGCCGTCCAATGCCAAACTTGTGCAGGAGTATCTCGGACGCAAAGCCGCAGCCGATTGCTCCCAGGAAGTCCCAGATGTTGAGGAGAGCCACGAAGATGTTCATCCTTGCGGTGGAGTATCCCAGGGAGTCGCTCAGCTGGCCCAAGTTGTTGTAGAAGGTGGACACGGTTCCCAGGCCGCAGGAAGTCGCGATGAGCATGAGCCACATATCGATGCTCAGCAAGGCGTGGACGAGCCTGTAGTCCTTACCTCTCGCCGGGACTTGGAACCATCTGCAGCTGCCAGCGCCGGAAGCTTGAGAAGGAGAATGGTCGACGACTTGCAGAGCACTCGGGGTGGAATTCATATCCGCGAGCTGAGCTTCAGACTTATCAGTTGGCGGTGGTGCGTGGATGCTTTCAAGTTGATCGACAGACTTCTCAGTTGGCGGTAGTGTCTGGATGCTTTGCAGTTGATCGACAACACCAGCACCGTTCGAATGTGATCGAAGCTCAGCTCGGACAACCAGAACAACCGGAGGTAGGACGATGACCAGCATCAACCCGAAGAACACCAAAGGCACCGAGTCTGGAAGCCTGCTCGGTATGGTCCCCTCGATGACTGTGACCACGAGGAGATAGCCCGCCAAGGCAAAAGTGGTGATGAGGAACGAGTTAAGAATGGACTTGTCGCTGGGCCTCTCGACGACAGGCACGGGCCCGAGGAAGAGGCCAAGCAGCAGATACAGGAACGTCGGTAGCAGCCCCAGGAAGAGCAGAAAGGAGCGAGCGTGGAACTGGAAGAAAGTCTGGAACACAACCGCGAATGCGGTTGCTCCCAGGCCATTGCTGCCGTCGAGCAAGCTCAGCAGCATCCCCTGGTGATGTTTGGGGAAGTTCGTGGCACAGGTCGACAGGACAGCAGTGACTGCAAAGCCTACAGAGGCGCCGACGAGAAACATGTAGAAGCTCATTTGCCATGCCGGTGGACGAGCAATCTGGTGGGTGATGGCGAGCCAGGCCATGGTGTAGCCGAACAGGTTGAGCAATGCGGAGACGAGCATGGTGAGACGGGGTCCGACTCTCGCATTGAGCAAGCCGGCCAGAAAAGCCATGCTAGTGCCGAGATCCTTGAAAAAACTGATGGTATTGACGGACTCTTGCTTGTAATGCAGGGAGACTTTGAGCTCTTGCGAGAACAAGCTGAAGCTGGTGAGCGTGCCTCCGGTGATTGCTATCAGGTAGAAGCCCGACACTGCGATGATCCAGCGATTGCTGGCGATGGAGAAGAGTTCCTTGGCCATTGCTAGCGCCATTGCCGCCAGCGCTGTGAGATAACATGAAAGCTCTATAAAATCATCGTGCTTTATGATAAGGCTTTTGCTTTGCAGTCCATGCCACGACCGGACTTGCGTGGACGATCTTTCCGGTTCGATACAAAAACGTGACAATTCCGAAGTTTCGTGGCTCCAAGTTTTCTATGTCGTGGGTCAACTAAGTTGAGCATTGACGCTTGATGTGGATCTGGGGCAGGGCCAGATGCGGACGCTGGTCAAGTCACGGGTACGGAAAAGTCTACAAAATGGTCTTGAGCGGGGGACGGATCCGGAATCGGCGCAATGGTAACGTTCTTATCATCTTCGTGCTGCCGACTTGAAAATTTTATTTTTTGCAACTATATAAGCAGGGCACTGGGAGGACACTGATATCCGCATCTCAAAGTTGAGAAAGCCTAGCATCCAAGCATACATTTCCATTTCCATCTTTCATCTTTCAATCTTTCTTGCTTACACAGTCCCATCCATGGCTGGCATCAAGGCATTTGTTGACAGCTGCAACGGGACGCTGGACAGCGTTCCAGACAGATACATGATGCCGAATGAAGCTGCCGATGTCTCCCGGTACGCGGTGCTGCCGATAGTCGATGTGGCGAGCGAGAGCTTCGAGAGGGATCTCGTTGACGCTTGTACAAAGTACGGAATGTTCTACGTAAGTTTTCAAGAAGTGTCTTTTTCCTGTAGTACATGTTTGCTAAGTTGTTGTTCTTCTGACTTGCAGCTCAAGAACCACGGAATTCACACCGAGGATGTGATGAGGTGCGCTCTCGAGTTCTTCAACTCGCCCAGCGAGGACAAGATGCGGTACTACACCGAGGAGATCTTCACACCCGTCCGCTACTGCACCAGCATGATGCCTTCGAAAGAAGAGAAGCTCGAGTGGCACGACCACCTCCAGATGTGGCTCAAGGAAGAGTCCCTCGGAGCGCACCCCTGGCCCGCGTTCCCAGCCAGCTACAAGTCAGTATCACGCTCCTTGATTATGGTATTGCTCTAGATTGCTGACGCTCTATATGCAACAGGGACATTGGATCCGAGTACGCCAGAAACATCTTCAAGCTCGGGAAGAGGATGCTGTTGGTCATGTCCGAGGGACTTGGCCTCCGCTCAAACCGTCTTCTGGAAGCATTCGCAGACATGGTTCTTCTGACGCGAGCAAACTTCTATCCGACTTGCCCGAATCCGAGGCAGGCCTTGGGCATGGAAGGCCACACAGACAGCGGCGGCCTCACGTTTGTGCTCCAGGATGGAGTCGGGGGATTGCAGCTGAAGCAAGGCGAGGATTGGTACAACGTGAGGCCACTCGAGGGAATGCTGGTGGTCAACATGGGCGATCAGCTAGAGGTACGAGCAGTCGAAAACTTTTTGAGAAACTATGGATTGATCTTTGTCTTGGTTGATTGTCTTGTATCAGAAGCTGAGCAATGGGAGATACAAGAGCATATTGCACAGGGTGATGGTGAACTCGAAGAGCTCAAGGCTGTCCGTCGGGGCGTTCCTGGGGCCGTCACTAGACGCGGAGATCAGCCCGATTCCAGAACTGGTGAGCCAGGAGAGTCCGGCAAAGTACCGCAGCAGGACTTATAGGGATTACATGCACGAGGTGTACACGGAGCACTTCTCCGGGAAGAATGTCTATGTGGCTTGAGTCTTTGGGGGTAGTCAAAGGCATCAATTTTTTTCTCATTCTCACAAATAAAACAGTTGCAAGAAATGTTTGCTCACAAGGATCTTAGTTTGATAAGCAAAGATTTTATCACAATATTATATAGAGGTACGAAATGTCATGGCAAGCCGACTGTGTGCTGCGTAGAAGATCGCAAAAGTTTAACAATCTGGGAGGAAGTCCAGCAATGTATTGTTAAGCAATATAACTTTTTAAAATCACAATATGAAAGCCACACATACTGTAGTGTGCGGTGTTGAATGCATGTTTAATCCTAAGTAACTGACAGCTAAGCACAAACCCTTCGAAGAACAAATTTCTTCAGAAAGCTGAAGAGATGTTTGCTCCATAATATTGTCATGAAGAAAAGAAATGGTAGCCGATGACGTGGCGCGCTGCCAACCCACGTGAAGCGTGAAGCGCCACATCAACATTGGTTGTTTATTACTCAAGAAATCACTTTTTTCTAGATCTGTTGCACCAAAGAGCAAGCGCTACAAGACGAACCCAGCAAGCTGGACGCCGAATTCCGCACTGGGAGCTCGATCAAGGACCGCGACAACCTGTAAGAGCAGCTCCCAATCGATGATCAGGGAAACACTTCTATAGCTCATGGATCCGGGAGGTGCTGGGGCAGGAAGCGCTTCTACAACTCGTGCATCGGGGAACCGAGAGATTTCTCCAGACGTCGATTCAAGGCTTGCAGCTGGTGGCGGTGCTCAATGTTTCTTTTTGACATCGGCAGATGGTCCCAAGTTAGGGCGGATGAAAAAGCCCATTCGGAGCCTTTTTCTGCGGAGACAGCAATCACGCAGGGCCCACTAGGTAATGTTGATATTAACTTCGCTTTTTACTGCATGGTTTGGTTTGGCACAATGGATGAAAATGGAAAACCAAGAAGATGATCCGAGCCGGATTAAAGTACCATATTTGGTGCTTTCCACACAACTATTAACTTTGCGGGAGTAAACGATGGTCAAGCAGGGCACAGAGCTCATGGAGCTTAAAAAAATGCAAGACTCTGCTAGCATGCATCGTCAACAACAGCAGCAACTTTTCTCGTCAAGCTGGGCTTCACCTCCGCACTGTAGAACTTGGCGGACCTTAAGCTGAGAGCCACGGCGATAGCACACCCAAACAAACAGGTGGCGGCCATGACGAAGAACGTTTCCCTGTAGCACTTGGCACCGTCGCACAAGAGCGAGGCCTCCAGCGTGTCCGGGCCCCGGTATCTCCTGGCTTGCCGATCGTAGAACACACCCGCAACTTCCACCGACAGGACATACGTCCCAATCCCCTTTGCAACGTTTGGGAAGCTCTGGAGAACTCCATAGTGCTTGAGCCCGAAGATCTCCGCGATGATGGTCGACAGCACCGCCCACTGGCCTCCGGTGGCGAGGCCGATGATGATGGAGCCGATGTACGGCGCGCCGGGAAGGCCCAAGGCGATGAGCAAGTTGCCGAGCGCTAGAAAGCCGACCACCGCAGCGAACACGAACGGCCGTCCAATGCCAAACTTGTGGAGGAGTATCTCGGACACGAAGCCGCAGCCGATTGCTCCCAGGAAGTCCCAGATGTTGAGGAGAGCCACGAAGATGTTCATCCTTGCGGTGGAGTATCCCAGGGAGGCGCTCAGCTGGCCCAAGTTGTTGTAGAAAGTGGACACGGTTCCCAGGCCGCAGGAAGTCGCGATGAGCATGAGCCACATATCGATGCTCAGCAAGGCGTGGACGAGCCTGTAGTCCTTCCCTCTCGCTGGAACTTGGAACCATCGGAAGAAATGCATAATACAGCACCCCTCACTCTTACGTGGTTGCCCCTTTGCCACGCTCACTCCTCGCGTCCTCCGTGGCGTGTTTAGTCACGCCCAGCTCTGCACCCTAAATGTTTAAGAGAACCCATTGCCGCGATCATTAGGTTCCATTAAACTATGTCTTTGAAAGGGATTCTCTTAAACATCACGATTGCTCCACAATTGCACCTAGGAGGCTGTTCCACAAGCAGCAGTCCCACTCGGGCATATCTCTTTGATAATATAATTTATAATAATGAGGTGGCATGCGCATGTAAGCAATGAGGTGGCATGCAAATCCAAATAAACAAATGGGGCCCACCCTAAATAAGGGGGGGTGCTGTATTATGCATTCTACCCGAATTCATATCCGCGAGCTGACCTTCAGACTTATCAGTTGGCGGTGGTGCGTGGATGCTTTCAAGTTGATCGACAGACTTCTCAGCTGGGAAAGTCGGAGGAGGAGGCGGGCGAGGGTGGTGTCTGGATGCTTCGCAGTTGATCGACAACACCAGCACCGTTCGAATGTGATCGAAGCTCAGCTCGGACAACCAGAACAACCGGAGGTAGGACGATGACCAGCATCAAAATGACTGTGACGACGAGGAGATGGCCCGCCAAGGCAAAAGTGGTGATGAGGAACGAGTTAAGAATGGACTTGTCGCTGGGCCTCTCGACGACAGGCACGGGCCCGAGGAAGAGGCCAAGCAGCAGATACAGGAACGTCGGTAGCAGCCCCAGGAAGAGCAGAAACGAGCGAGCGTGGACCTGGAAGAAAGTTTGGAACACAACCGCGAATGCGGTTGCTCCCAGGCCATTGCTGCCGTCGAGCAAGCTCAGCAGCATCCCCTGGTGATGTTTGGGGAAGTTCCTGGCACAGGTCGACAGAAGAGCCGTGACTGCAAAGCCTACAGAGGCGCCGACGAGAAAAATGTAGAAGCTCATTTGCCATGCCGGCGGACGAACAATCTGGTGAGTGATGGCGAGCCAGGCCATGGTGTAGCAATGCGGAGACGAACATGGTGAGACGGGGGCCGACTCTCGCATTGAGCAAGCCGGCCAGGAAAGCCATGCTGGTGCCGAGATCCTTGAAAAAACTGATGGTATTGACGGACTCTTGCTTGTAATGCAGGGAGACTTTGAGCTCTAGCTAGCTGAAGCTGGTGAGCGTGCCTCCGGTGATTGCTATCAGGTAGAAGCCCGACACTGCGATGATCCAGCGATTGCTGGCGATGGAGAAGAGTTCCTTGGCCATTGCTAGCGCCATTGCCGCCAGCGCTGTGAGGTAACAAGAAAGCTCTATAAAATCATCGTGCTTTATGCAAAGGCTTTTGTTTTGCAGTCCATGCCACGACCGGACTTGCGTGGACGATCTTTCCTGTTCGATACAAAAACGTGACAATTCCGAAGTTTCGTGGCTCCAAATTTTCTATGTCGTGGGTCAACTAAGTTGAGCATTGACGCTTGATGTGGATCTGGGGCAGGGCCAGATGCGGACGCTGGTCAAGTCACGGGTACGGAAAAGTCTACAAATTGGTCTTGAGCGGGGGGCGGATCCGGAATCGGCGCAATGGTAACGTTCTTATCATCTTCGTGCTGCCGACTTGAAAATTTTATTTTTTGCAACTACATAAGCAGGGCACTGGGAGGACACTGATATCCGCATCTCAAAGTTGAGAAAGCCTAGCATCCAAGCATACATTTCCATTTCCATCTTTCATCTTTCAAGCTTTCTTGCTTACACAGTCCCATCCATGGCTGGCATCAAGGCATTTGTTGACAGCTGCAACGGGACGCTGGACAGCGTTCCAGACAGATACATGATGCCGAATGAAGCTGCCGATGTCTCCCGGTACGCGGTGCTGCCGATAGTTGATGTGGCAAGCGAGAGCTTCGAGAGGGATCTCGTTGACGCTTGCACAAAGTACGGAATGTTCTACGTAAGTTTTGATGAGGTGTCTTTTTCCTGTAGTACATGTTTGCTAAGTTGTTGTTCTTCTGACTTGCAGCTCAAGAACCACGGAATTCACACCGAGGATGTGATGAGGTGCGCTCTCGAGTTCTTCAACTCGCCCAGCGAGGACAAGATGCGATACTACACTGAGGAGATCTTCACACCCGTCCGCTACTGCACCAGCATGATGCCTTCGAAAGAAGAGAAGCTCGAGTGGCACGACCACCTCCAGATGTGGCTCAAGGAGGAGTCCCTCGGAGCGCACCCCTGGCCCGCGTTCCCAGCCAGCTACAAGTCAGTTTCTCGCTCCTTGATTTTTCGTATTGATCTAGATTGCTGACGCTCTATATGCAACAGGGACGTTGGATCCGAGTACGCCAGAAACATCTTCAAGCTCGGGAAGAGGATGCTGTTGGTCATGTCCGAGGGACTTGGCCTCCGCTCAAACCGTCTTCTGGAAGCATTCGCAGAGATGGTTCTTCTGACGAGAGCAAACTTCTATCCGGCTTGCCCGAACCCGAGGCAGGCCTTGGGCATGGAAGGCCACACCGACAGCGGCGGCCTCACGTTTGTGCTCCAGGATGGAGTCGGGGGATTGCAGCTGAAGCAAGGCGAGGATTGGTACAACGTGAGGCCACTCGAGGGAATGCTGGTGGTCAACATGGGCGATCAGCTAGAGGTACGAGCAGTCTAAAACGTTTTGAGAAACTGTGGATTGATCTTGTCTTGGTTGATTGTCTTGTATCAGAAGCTGAGCAATGGGAGATACAAGAGCATATTGCACAGGGTGATGGTGAACTCGAAGAGCTCAAGGCTGTCCGTCGGGGCGTTCCTGGGGCCGTCACTAGACGCGGAGATCAGCCCGATTCCAGAGCTGGTGAGCCAGGAGAGTCCGGCAAAGTACCGCAGCAGGACTTATAGGGATTACATGCACGAGGTATACACGGAGCACTTCTCCGGGAAGAATGTCTATGTGGCTTGAGTCTTGGGTAGTCAAAGGTACAAATTTTTTTCTCATTCTCACAAATAAAACAGTTGCAAGAAATGTTTGCTCACAAGGATCTTAGTTTGATAAGCAAAGATTTTATCACAATATTATATAGAGGTACGAAATGTCATGGCAAGCCGACTGTGTGCTGCGTAGAAGATTGTAAAAGTTTAACAATCTGGGAGGAAGTCTAGCAATGTATTGTTAAGCAATATAACTTTTTAAAATGGCAATATAAAAGACATATGAAGCTTCTTATTATATAAACTCTCATCATTTTCTTAAGGCAGTGAAGAAGCTTTGAGGTATCAGAATGATATGACTAAGGTGAAAGTCCTCACCAAAAGTAGTGGTTTTCCAGCAGGTCTCCATTCTTTCTTTTCATTTTTCTTGAGATTTTTAGCTGCCATTTGAACTTTAATAGATATTTGAGAATGTATTTTTAAGGGGTATTAATGCTCCTGATCCCTTTGTATGAAGTGTTTTAACCATTGCACATGCATAATCTCTAGAGGATCAGTTTGCTGGATGTTATGCTAAACCTCATAAATTTGTGGTTTAATTTGTTGCAAGACTTGATATAGTGCTTTCCACTAAACAAAGAGCCCTTTAAATAAACCATATATTGTAAGATGGGGAAAACAAATTAACACCAAGTCATCCACTTGGTACTTTACAGGTGGACAATGATAGGAGTTGTAGTGCCATTGTTGTCCCATTTGTATATGGCCTAAGTGTTCGGTAGATTTTATTCGGACAAGTGGAAGAATGTTCGTCAAATATTAATCCCATGATTTAACATTAGCAGCTCATAGCAATTGCGAAGGTAAACTCAGCTCTATTGGTAATATTGGATCATGACCATATAAGAGTTTATATGGTGAAACACCAATAGAACTCTGCACCCCTGTGACATATGCATACCGAAGAGATGACAAATAATCATCCCAATCCAAATGCTAAAAGTTCATATACTTCGCGATCATCCTTTTGAACATTCAAATGAGCTATTCCACCAGACCATCTGATTGTGGATGATAAGCACTCGTGAAAGTGTGGTGTATCCCCAACCGAGATGTCAAAACATAAAATGCCTTAGCCATAAATGCGGGATCATTATCCGAAAGAATTTGCTCTGGATAAGAATGCTAGAACACCACTCGATTAAGGAGGAAGTATCCAACAACAGTTGTAAAGGCACTAGCAAAAGCACTAACTTCCACCCAATGAATCAAGTAATCAGAAGCAATAATAACATACTCATTGCTAGCAATTGACTGTGGAAAAAGTCCCATAAGATCAAATGCCACCAACTCAAATGGAGAAATTGCAATTAACTCTAATGGTCCTTCTGGAGCACGAAGGAGAGTATTACAAACTTAGCACCAAACGCAGTTATGCATATACTAGATAACATCACGTTGTACTTCTAGCTAATAGAAAAACTTGTGTAGCTTGTCAGTTACACGACGATGTCCCATATGCCCACCTAAAACAAGAGAATTGTGGTAGGCATAGAAAAACCGCAAAATAAAGATAGAAGGCACTACCAATTGTAAATGATCATCAGAATCCGTTGTAAGCCACAAATTTTTCCTTTCCAATTTGCCAGCTTACCTCGTCTATCCGACCAACTCTGCCTTGGCTTGTGCTAAGTTCCCTCGCCAAGGTTCCCGCCTATGGTACCAGCTCCTACTTGGTCCTACTTGGTTTCAGCTACTCACTGCACGAGCAACAGAGTGTTAGCCATCCATCTACGGATTCCCAAATCTCTCCCAATCCCCCTCCCCGGGTTAGACTGGACTTAAGGTTTGGTTACACTCCCCGCAGGCACAAGCAGCCAAGCACACCAAGCCTCTAAGTTCCTAACACCCCTTGGGACCACAAGACTTGATTATGGGACCCTCTAAATCCCAAGTCTTGGGTGCAGCACTTGCTTCGGGACGTCGGGGCGAAACACCGTGGCCTAACGGCCCAGTATGGGTACCTCTACCCCCCCACTTCCATCCCAAAGGGAAGGCCCAAGCCCCTAGGAAGGGCGAGGACCAATGAGCCACAAGGTACTCAAGTGGGGCACCACTCCACATAAGCCGGGAGCACCACAGTCGGTTTCCCTTTCGGGAGTGGGAGCTGCTCTTGAGCACTTCCTTGGGTGGCCCCTCTGGCACCACTCAAGCCCATGCTCACTCCCACCCAAGGCCCCTCGGCCCCAGTCTCAACCTCAAGTCAGTTTGGAAGCACCACTGGAGAGTTCCTTCAAGACTGGTTCCTGGACCTCACTATCCCTATTATACTTTTGGAACCCCCTGCAGCCCCCCCCCCCGGGAAAAGCACGCTTTGGGCTT